AGTGCGAGGACCGGTCGTGCGTCCCTTTTTCCAAGGCCATCATAGCTTAAATGTTGAGCTGTCATTTAGTTTTTCCTCAGTCTTCAAAGCATCCCCCACATCCATCGACACACCCCGATTTCTTGCTCTTGGGACCGAATGTCGCTTATCTTCTTCCAGGATAGAAGAACAAGATCTAGAACGGCGGTTTGAGCTCCTGAGTCGCGAGCTTCGCGCCATGATGGCCATCGAAGGTGAGAGGGCAAGTTGGGGAGCCCCCTCGAGAGGAAAATGGGCACTTAGGCCTCATTGTAGCTCCCTGGAACAAAAAACAAAGAGGTTCGAATTTGGGTCTCCAGAAGGCCTACCTTAAAGGGGTGTTGTAGTTGTTCAGATCGGGAAGGTGGAGGGTGGGGATAAAAACCCAGGTCCCGCCCGCCAGCTGCTGACCCCATTCTCCATTTATCGACTCACAAAGATAGCGCTCTACGACGGGGCCTTTTCGGTGGTGGCCCTGAAATTGCTTAAAATCTGTATACAGCCACTTAAACAGCCACAGTTGAGCTCAAACTTTCCGTGGCTAAGCGAGACAGTTGCGTTTTGCCCCATTTTACGACCTCCCTCGGCGCAGCCGTGAATCGTTGCAGTGGTTTAAGTTAGTCACAATAGGCCGTCTTAGATTGGAACGGGCAGTTCATTAACAAGGTTGTCCACAGTTTGATTCTGTTTTTCTCAGTGCCCCTTTGTTTTTTTTAAATAATAATAATAATAATCCCCCTTTTTGATGCAACCATCTTAATGGGGAGGTCGGCCCTGCCTTCCCCGGCTGTGTTTTTCAGCCTTGGAAGAAGCTGCTTTCAAGAGTCGCTCGGCTGTTGGTGGATTTGCTTTTCTCCTTGACTCAAGTCGGGGAAAGGCAGCTGGCAAATCTGTTTAAGGGAATGTCTTGATGGAAAGCCTCGTTTTTTCCCCCCGCTCTGCAGACTGGCTCAAAACAGAAGCCCAGCGGCAACGGGAGCAGCTCCTTCTGGAAGAACTGGTCTCACTGGTGAATCAGCGGGACGAATTAGTCAGAGACCTGGATATCAAAGAGCGTATGTAAGTAGGCGTCTTTTTCCTTTGTCTTTCTTCCTACGTTTCTTTTTTTCTTTCCTTCCTTCCTTATTTCTTTCTCGCTTTCCTTCTATGTCCTTCTTTCCTTCTTTTTCTCTCTCTCACCTTTATCCTTCCTTCCTTCCCCTCTTTTTTTCTTTCTTTCTTTTTTTCTTCTTTCTTTTCTTTCTTTCTTCCTTCCTTCCTCTCCTTTCTTTCCTTATCTCTTCCTTCCTTTCTCCTTTTTCTTTTCATCTCTCCTTTCTTTCCTATTCCTTCTTTCTTCTCCCTCTTCTCTTTGTCTTTTTTTCTTTCTTTTTCTCTTTTCATCGTCCCTTTCTTTCCTATTCCTTCTTTCTTCTCCCTGTTCTCTCTTTTTTCTTTCTTTTACTTTCTTTTTCTTTTTCTCTCTCCTTTCTTTCCTATTCCTTTCTTCTCCCTCTTCTCTTCCTTTTTTTCTTTCTTTTACTTTCTTTCTTTCTTTTCCTCTCCTTTCTTTCCTATTTCTTTCTTCTCCCTCTTCTCTTTCTTTTTTCTTTCTTTTACTTTCTTTCTTTCTTTCCCTCTCTCTTTTCTTTTCTATTCCTTTCTTCTCCCTCTTCTCTTCCTTTTTTCTTTTACTTTCTCTTTCTTTTCCTCTCCTTTCTTTCCTATTCCTTCTTTCTTCTCCCTCTTCTCTTTGTCTTTTTTCTTTCTTTTACTTTCTTTCTTTTCATCATTCCTTTCTTTCCTATTCCTTCTTTCTTCTCCCTCTTGTCTTTTTTCTTTTTCTTTTTTCTTTCTTTTCTTTTCTTTTTCTCTTTTTTCTTTTTCTTCCTTCCTTCCTCTCCTTTTCTATCACTTCTTTTCTTCCTCCTTTCTTTCTTTCATCTCTCCTTTCTTTCCTATTCCTTCTTTCTTCTCCCTCTTTCCTTTGTCTTTTTTCTTTTTCTTTTACTTCTTTCTTTCCTTATCGCTTTCTTCCTCCTTTTCTTTCTTTTCATCTCTCCTTTCTTTCCTATTTCTTTTTCTTCTCCCTCTTCCCTTTGTCCTTTTTCTTTCTTTTACTTTCTTTCTCTTTCTTTCTCTTTTCTTTTTTCTTTCTCTTTCATTTTTCTTTCTCTTTTCTCTTTTCTTTTTTTTCTTTCTTTCTTTCTTTTTCTTTTCTTTTCTTTTTCTTCTCACAGCCCAAATATTCTAGCCACAAGGGTACAACCAAGGTGTGTGTGGGGGGGGGTATTCCTTTTTAACCCCTCAACCATTCTGTCACTGGCCTCCCAAAAGTCTTCTTCCAATCTGTAGTTGCTTTTTAAAGCGGAGGACTTTTGAAGGGCCTGGGGAATTGGCATTTAATCTAATTTTAATTACCTTGAAATTAAAACAGAATGAAATACAAGTTTGGGCCGTGCTCACCCGTCTTTGCCAGACACCTCCCATCCCATCAAAAGGTTGTTCCTTCCTGTTGCAGGTCCTTAGCTGCAGTATAGGGTGAAGGCACTAATAATGCCTCTGTACATACCCGGTAGTTCTTTCCCATGAGGGGTTTTTTTGTGTGAAAAGCTTTCATTCTTTTTTCCCAATGGAGGAAAGACAAAAAAACGGTTTAAGATTCCTATCATGTTGCATGTCCTTTATTTTCAGTAGGAAAACAGCTTGGAAATTGGGGTAAAATAAATCAGAATAATTAGGTCCTAAAAGCCAGCAGGAAATTAAACTAAAACTAATTAACCAGCAGTAACTTGCAAAAAGCATGTTGACTGTTTGCAAACATAGGATCTGCCAAAAGGGAGAGCAAAGCATGAGACAGAAGGATACAGCCAATATTTTCTGACTGGGAGAAAACTATTATTAAACCAAGAGCTTAGTTTATTCACGACTGCCCCGATGGGATTTAGAATTTTTTTAAAAAAAAAACAAAACACCATCGTTAATACCCTAAGAATGAGCCTGCCAATTTTCTTCTCTAAAGCTTGCTGGGAACAGCTTTATAGCTATAATAATTATAAAGTAATTATAATTGATTATAAATTATAAATATTATAATGTTGATAATTACTTGTAAAATAATAACGTCAGGATTAAAAAAAGCCAGTTTGGTCTAAGGCTTAAGGCACCAGGCTAGAAACCAGGAGACGGTGAGTTCGAGTCCCGCCTTAAGCCATGAAAGCCAACTGGGTGACCTTGGGCCAATCACCAGGAGACTGTGAGTTCTAGTCCCGCCTTAAGCCATGAAAGCCAACTGGCTGACTTTGGGCCAATCACCAGGAGACGGTGAGTTCTAGTCCCGCCTTAGCCATGAAAGCCAGCTGGGTGATTTTGGGCCAATCACCAGGAGACGGTGAGTTCTAGTCCCGCCTTAGCCATGAAAGCCAGCTGGCTGACTTTGGGCCAATCACTCTCCCAGTCCAGCCCACCTCACAGGGTTGTTGTTGAGGGGAAAATAGAAGGAGAAAGGAATAGTAGACACGTCACCTCCTTGAGTTATTTATAAAAACAATAAAGGTTGGGTATATATACTGAAATAAATCAAAATAAAAAACCGAATAAAGAAATAAAAATAACGGAGAGACCTAACCAAGCTCCCCTGGGTTCTGTCCCCCCAACCTTTCCTTCTGTCTCCCTTCCTGTCGCACCCCGAAATCTCTTCAGAGCTTTGGAAGAAGACGCCAGGCTGGAACGGGGTTTACAGCAGAGGCGTCATAAAATGAGCCGGCGGGAAAAGTGCCGCGTCAGCTGAGAAGGGCTCCTGCCTTCGTCTCCACCAACACCCCTGCAGTGTAGGAAGCCCAGCTGTCTCCCCCAGACCGCCACCAACTTGTTGCCTCCCAACCGTGCCTCCGGCTTGCTACGCGCGTCTGTTCATGCCCAGGAGAAACGCTCTGTGGACTTTCCCCCCACTTTTGAGGGGGGGCATAAGTTAAGATGCACTTCAGGGTTTTGTTCTGTTTTTTTAAAACTCTCCCCCCCAAAAAAACCATCCCGGAAAAAACTTTCGATGGGTAATTTCTCTCTCTCTCTTTATCCGGGGGGAGAGAGATTTGCAACGATCTGTTTTTAGGAATTATTTATTGGGTTGCGTGTGTCCCCGTGTGCTTGTGTGCCTGCCTGCGTGCATGCCAAGCGGTTCTGGGTTCAAAAAAAACGGGTCGTTCCTCCCGTTTTGAGGATGAAGCTTTTGCCGGGCCCCGCCTTTTACTTGGGAATTTTTGAATTTTTTTTTAAAACAATCCACGCTTGATGGTACCAAAGCCGCCGAGTGCCTTGAATGCTTCCAGTGCCAAACCGGATGACGGGCAGAGCTTTATGCCCGCCTCTTCCGGAAATTTGGGTTCCTGAGTATTTGCACTAAATTTGTACTGGACTTTAGAATAAATGTTTTCAAAACGGGAGCCAGCTGGCGAGTGATGCAAAGGGCCAGAGGAAGGGGTGGGTTCATTCCCAGGAGGGATACAGTCCTAATTGTACAGGTAGTCCTCAACTTACAACTATTTGTTTAGCGACCATTCAAAGTCACGCCGGCACTGAAAAAAATACAGTTCATTTGGTTCATTTGGTGACCGTTTGAAGTTACAATGCAGCTTACAAAAGTGACTAACGACTGTCGTTCACACGACCGTGGACACATGATCAAAATTCAGACGTTTGGCAACCGATTCGTATTTACGACGGTCGCAGTGTCCCCAGGGGTCGCGCGATCCCCTTTTGCGGCCTTTTGACAAGCAAAGTCAATGGGGGAAGCCGGATTGGCTGAACAGCCGTGTCACTAACTTAATAACTGAAAGGATTCAATTCACAACTGTGGCAAGAAAGGTCGTAAAATGGGGCAAAACTCCTTTAACAAATGTTTCACTTAGCAACAGAAAATCTAGGCTCAGTTATGGTCGTAAGACGAGGACCACCTGATTGGAGAGAGATGGGGGTGCAGTTAATGTGCGGTGAGAGGGACACTCTTAAGGGTCACCTCTTTCAGTTAAATTCCTCGGGGTGCAGCGTCCGAGATCGGAGGTCAATGCAAGTTGATCCCTGCTCACGATTCCCACACGATCCTCCTCCTCCGGCGTGGAGCTGCGGGACGGAGCAAAGAAACGGATAAGAGCGCGGACTTCTTTCAGTTGGTAAACTGTTTCCAGGGTCACGAGCATGGCTAGCACACCGGTAAGTAGGTAGCCTGTTAAAGGGCAAAAGAAGGTAAATTACCTGACAGTGAGGACAATTAATCAGTGGAACAGCTTGCCACCAGAAGTTGTGGGTGCTCCATCACTGGGGGTTTTCAAAGAGAGACTGGACAACCGTTTGTCTGGAATGGTTATAAAGGCAGGGGTGTCCAAACTTGGCAACTTTAAGACTTGTGGACTTCAACTCCCAGAATTCCCCTGGTATAAGGTCTCCTGCTCGAGCAGGGGGTTGGACTAGAAGATCTCCAAGGTCCCTTCCAAACCTGTTATTCTATGATTCTAAGACATCTCCATCCAGTTTTTTTGGATCACAGCATGAAACAAGTTTGACTTCTTTCTGAAAAACCTTTTCAGCAGCCAGGTTTACAATCCTGGCATTTCTTGGTAATGTATTCAAATGCAAACCAGGCACGGCTCAAAGTGTATTTTTAATCTCCCAGTTCTAGTTTACAGCCATTTGTACGGGTGGTCCTCGGCTTACGGCTACAATTTTGCCCCCAAATTTTGCTTGCTAAATGAAAGATTTGTTAATGTTATGAATCAGTTTGCACAAACTTAGCTCATTGCGTGAATTTATAAGTTTGTAGACTGTGCGCATTAACCTTCCGGAAGATTAATTCTGTAATCCGATTAAGGGCGGCGTATGTATGAATGTGTGTGCGTGCACATATACGCCTGCGCACACACATACAACACTAAAAATTGAGATGGGGGCAATTACGTCCCAACCCATTCTTTGCACCACTAAATCTCTAGTGACTTCCCATTGTATTTTCATTTCTTTAAGTAAAGAAACATAGGGAAGACTGAGTTTAAACTAGGTTTAATCCAGTTAAACAAATATACTCTCCCCTTATGTAACAAAACAAACTAAGAAATCGTTTCCTTCTCCTTGCCTAACTAAAGAGTTGCTGTTTGTTCCTCTGTTTTACCTAAATAAGGGTTAAACACAGCCCCACAATAATTTAAATCTAGATAGCTTTATGAAGTTATGAATTTTACTCTCCAAGATTCTGGTCCTTCTGGCTGGGGAGGATGGGTGTTGGAACCCTAACACACTTAGACCGCACATCATTCTTTCCAAGAATGATTTTGCCCACCTGACCTGTTTTAAAACTGAATTATCTTTGTTGTTTGTGAGAATCGGTCTTAAACATTGTTTTAAAGCAGGCCCAGAGCGGCCCATACATACATAATCCTCGACTTAAGTTTGACGTTACAACGGCATTGAGAAACATGGCTTATGACCGTTTTTCACGCTGACCGTTGTAACATACCCATGATCATCCCCATGGCTGTAGATCAGGGGTCTTCAAACTTGGCCACTTTAAGACTTGTGGACTTCCAACTCCCAGAATTCCTCAGCCAGCCCTGGCTGGCTGAGGAATTCTGGGAGTTGAAGTCCACAAGTCTTAAAGTGGCCAAGTTTGAAGACCCCTGATCTAGTTGTTGGAGTGTCCTTGACCAGGCACAAATGTCTCCATTCCCCTCTTACTGTAATTCTGCTTCCTGGACCTCGGTGGTCCTCCAAGCCAAATTATCCAACGGCACTGATGGAAAAAAAAAGATATTTAAGGGACGTCGCCTGCCTCGGCGACAGGGATTCCTGGCTGACAACCTTCCCGCTCCAATTCCTGACGACTTACACGTGATGCTCAGCTCGTAAAACCCGTGAAGCGATGGGGGAGACATGACGCGGGGTACAAAATCCCCCAACCCAATGGTGCTGAGCGAGATGAAGCAGAAATAGATGGACTCCAGAAAGGTCCAGTTGTCCTTTAAGATCCAGAAGCAAATGGCCGGGATCAAGATGAAGAGGGTCAGGGTGGCCAGCCCCAGGACCATCGAGTGGCCTAAGGCCACGTGTGCCCACGGGAAGCCCCAGCGGCTGTGAATGTATCGCACCGGCCGGTAGGTGAGGACAGGCAACAGGCAGCGGAGTAAACATCTGACGAACAATATGGTCACTGGGATGCCCACGAAGCAGTAAAGGATGCTGATAATTTTGCCCCAGTCCGAGAGAGGAACCATGTTTCCATAACCTACGATCAAGAGAACGGCAACAGATGATTAGAGGTCTGGAGGAATAGAATAGAATAATAGAATAGAATAGAGTAGAATAGAGTAGAGTAGAATAGAATAGAATAGAATAGAATAGAATAGAATAGAATAGAATAGAATAGAATAATAGAACAGATATTGGAATATAAAATAGAATAGATATTGGAATATAGAATAGAATAGAATAGAATAGAATAGAATAGAATAGAATAATAGAATAGAATAGATATTGGAATATAGAATAGAATAGATATTGGAATATAGAATAGAATAGAATAGAATAGAATAGAATAGAATCTGGAAGGGACCCTGGAGGTCTTCTAGTCCAGCCCCCCACTCAAGCAGGAGAACTTATACCATCTCAGACAAGTGACTGTCTAGCCTCTTCTTAAAAATCTCCAGTGATGGAGCGCCCATGATTTCTAGTGGCAAGCTGTTCCACTGGTTAACTGTCCTCACTGTCAGGAAATTTCTCTTTAATTCCAGGTTGCTTCTCTCTTTGGTCAGTTTCCAACCATTGTTTCTCATCCTTCCCTCTGGTGCTTTGGTGAATAACGTGACCCCCTCTTCTTTGTGGCAGCCCCTCAAATACTGGATCACTGCTATCATGTCTCCCCTGTTTCTTCTTTTCTTTAGACTAGCCAAACCCAAGTCCCGCAACCGTTCTTCGTATGTTTTAGTCTCCAGGCCTTTGATCACCTTAGTTACTCTTTTCTGAATTTTTTCCAAACTCTCAACCTCTTTTTTCTGAGATGGTGACCAAAATTGGTTGCAGTATTCCAGGCGTGGTCTCACTAGGGTGTTATAAAGCGGTACTAATACTGCATATAAACTGTACAATGAACGTTTGAGGAAATTAGGTGGGTCTAATTCAGGGGTCTCCACAAAGTTGCCAACTTGTAAGACTTGGGGACTTCAAACCAGGAATTGCTCAGCCCGCAATTCTGGGAGTTGAAGTCCACAAGTCTTAATGCCGTAAATAATGCTATACTGGCTGGGGAATTCTGGCACTGAAAAAAGGGACTTATGACCATTTTTCACACTTACAACCATTGCAGTATTCTCGTGGGTCATGTGATTGACATTTGGATGCTTGGCAACTGACTCACATTTATGACCGTCACAGTGTCCCGGGATCACGTGATCCCCCTTTGCGACGTTCTGACAAGCAAAATCAACGGGGCAGCCAGTTTCACTTAAAAACGGTGTGACAAACTTGACGACTGCAGGGGTTCCCTTAACAAATGTGGCAAGGAAAGTCGTAAAACGGGGCTAAACTCGCTTAACGAACCTCTCACTTAGCAACATCAATTTTGGGCTCGGTTGTAAGCCGAGGACGACCTGTAATCGGCGACAATATAATATACAGGTTGCATTATCTGTAACTGGACAGCTTGTGTTTCAACCCAGCCGAGCGAATCGCACAGCCATTTTTATCTCCTGTTGAACACAAGGGCAGATTCCGCTGAAGGTCACGGAGACCCACTAGGCATTATATCCCTCTATTGTTTTTGCGAGCAGCAAAGTAAATTTCTGGCGTTTAGCCACGCCAAAAGAACATCAAACTGCATCAAGCCTTAACAACAAATCCATTGTGACTTTCCAGGGTCGGGATCACAAAGTACAATTTGCTCCTTTGAAATGACTTCAACCAGAGTAGAGCTGGAAGGGACGCTGGAGGTCATCTAGTCCAACCCCCTGCTCAAACAGGAGACCCTATATGCCATTTCAGACAAGTGACTGTCCAGTCTCCTCTTAAAAGCCTCCAGTGATGGAGCGCCCACGATTTCTGGAGGCAAGCTGTTCCACTGGTTAATTGTCCTCACTGTTGGGAAGTTTCTCCTTAATTCCAGGTTGCTTATATCATGGGGACTAGAGCCTAGTCCAGAGGGCTGGACTAGAAGACCTCCAAGCTCCCTTCCAGCTCTATTCTGATTGAAACCTAGGCTCCAAGGCAGAACAAGAAGCAACGGATGGAAACTAATCAAGGAGAGAAGCAACCTAGAACTAAGGAGAAACTTCCTGACAGTGAGAACAATTAACCAGTGGAACAACCTGCCTCCAGAAGCGGTGAATGCTCCGACAGTGGAAGTTTTTAAGAACAGACTGGACAGCCATTTGTCCGAAATGGTATAGACTCTCCTGATCAAACGGGGTTGGACTAGATGACCTCCAAGATCCCTTCCGACCCTGTTACCTATTCTATGTTTACAATAATCCTGTTATTCTATGGTTGCAACTTGCCACCAGACGTCGTGGCTGCTCCAAAAGGGAAGGCTTTTTAAAAAAGAGACCGGACGCTCATTTGTCCAGAATAGTAGATGGGTCTGCTTGGGCTGGGGTTGGACTAGAAGACCTCCAAGGCCCCTTCAGTTATTCTCCGGGATCCCTGCCCTGCGCAGACACAACCTAGGCGTCCTCCAGCATCCCCACGTGCTGGCTCCCCTCCCTTGCCCCGCCCTTTGCCCCCAGCTCGACCCGCAGGGCAGACGCGGGTCGGGCGCGTCGTGGGGAGGCGCTCACCGGTGGTGGTGAGGGCGCTGGCGGCGAAGAAGAGCGCCGAGGTGAACTCCCAGGCGGGGTCGGCCGAGCCGTTGCCCAGGGCGAAGGCGCCGTAGCCGCGGGCGGCCAGGACGCCCCGGAGCAGCCCGGCCAGCTGATGCTCGGCCAGGCAGGGCCGGTGCTCGGCCAGCAGCGAGGCGCGGGCGGCGCGCAGGGCGGCCAGCAAGGCGCGCTCGGCGGGCGCCTCCAGGGCGGCGAAGACGACGGCGCCCAGCAGCAGGAAGAGCCCGTAGGCGGCCAGCAGGAGCCCGAAGCGGGCCGGCCGCCGCAGCAGCCCCGTCGCCGGCTCCATCCAGGTGAGCTGAGCTGGCAGGTGAGCCTCTGGCCCCGCCCCCCTCACCTGCCGGTGCTGGCCCCGGCGGCCCTTTGGGGAGGGGGGGGGCTTAACAGAACTCTTGGGGAGTCGAGGAGGGGAGGCCACTAGGAAATCACGCCATGGAGAGACGGGAGTGTTCCCGCCGCTGGAGGCTCTCGCCCGCCTTTAGGGGTTCCTGCAGGTGGGAAGGGAGGCCACTAGGAAATCACGCCTTTCAGATGGGAATGCTCCTCTCGCTGGAAGGTCTCGCCTGCCCCTTTCGAGGTTCCTGTAGGTGGGAAGGGAGGCCACTAGGAAATCACGCTGTGGAGACAGGAGTGCTCCTGCCCCTGGAGGCTCTCGCCCGCCTTTAGGGGTTCCTGCAGGTGGGAAGGGAGGCCACTAAGAAATCATGCCTTTCAGATGGGAATGCTCCTGCCACTGGAGGCTCTCGCCCGCCTTTAGGGGTTCCTGCAGGTGGGAAGGGAGGCCACGAGGAAATCACGCCTTTCAGATGGGAATGCTCCTCTCGCTGGAAGGTCTCGCCTGCCCCTTTCGGGGTTCCTGTAGGTGGGAAGGGAGGCCACTAGGAAATCACGCTGTGGAGACNCCCGCCTTTAGGGGTTCCTGCAGGTGGGAAGGGAGGCCACTAAGAAATCATGCCTTTCAGATGGGAATGCTCCTGCCACTGGAGGCTCTCGTCCGCCTTTAGGGGTTCCTGCAGGTGGGAAGGGAGGCCACGAGGAAATCACGCCTTTCAGATGGGAATGCTCCTCTCGCTGGAAGGTCTCGCCTGCCCCTTTCGGGGTTCCTGTAGGTGGGAAGGGAGGCCACTAGGAAATCACGCTGTGGAGACAGGAGTGCTCCTGCCCCTGGAGGCTCTCGCCCGCCTTTAGGGGTTCCTGCAGGTGGGAAGGGAGGCCACTAAGAAATCATGCCTTTCAGATGGGAATGCTCCTGCCACTGGAGGCTCTCGTCCGCCTTTAGGGGTTCCTGCAGGTGGGAAGGGAGGCCACGAGGAAATCACGCCTTTCAGATGGGAATGCTCCTGCCACTGGAGGCTCTCGTCCGCCTTTAGGGGTTCCTGTCAGTGGGAAGGGAGGCCACTAGGAAACCACGCCTTTAAGATAGGAACGGTCCTGCTGCTGAAGCTCTGGTCCGCCCCTTCGGGGTCCCTGTGAATGGGATGGGAGGCCACTAGGAAATCACACCTTTCAGATGGGAATGCTCCTCTCGCTGGAAGGTCTCGCCCCCCCCCCCCATTTCGGGGTTCCTGTAGGTGGGAAGAGAGGCCACTAGGAAATTGCAACTTTCAGATGGGAACGGTCCTGCCGCTGGAGGATCTCACCTGCCCTTCAGGGTCCCTGTAGGTGGAATGGGAGGCCACTAGGAAATCACTCCTTTGAGACGGGAATGCTCCTCTCGCTGGAAGGTCTCGCCCCCTCCCCCCTTTCGGGGTCCCTGTAGGTGGGATGGGAGGCCACTAAGAAATTAGGCTTTTAAGGTGGGAATGCTCCTGCTGCTGCTGGCTCTCAACCCTCCTTCAGGCTTGTGACCACAACTGAGCCCCAAATATCTGCATTCTTTCCAGAGTCTCAACATCTTTTGTTTTTGTATAGTGTGGGGGAAAAAACTGGATGCAATATTCCAGACGGCAGCATTTTATATGCCAGCGGTACTAGTACCTCTATACTAATCAATATTAGAAGAACAGTTGTTGTGCAGGCTGATGTTCTTCCTTCTGGGGAAAAGATTTGGGGGACCTCTCAACACATCCTGGAAAGTTGGTTAAGAGGAAGATCACCAGATGGCACGCAGCACAAAGGCTGGGCTGGGTAAAATAGGGAAAAAAAATCCTTATCAAGTTGTAACCATATCCTTTCCTTTACTCACTCGTGGTAGGAAGGGACGTGATCCGCTTCCAGCAGCAAATTTCGGCTTATTGCAATGCTTCAGTTTCAGCACAGGGGGGCAAACCTGCCCCCCCCCCAAAGTCAGAAATCCCCCCACCCGTTAATATTTGCATCTGGGTCCACAGAGGTGAAGATTAGGGTCAAAAAGATACTCCTGAACTTACAATCATTTCTTTAAGGACCGTTCAAAGTTGTAACAGCACTGAAAAAAGTGACTTACGACCGGTTTTTCACACTTACGGCCACTGCAGCATCCTCGTAGTCAGGGGATCAAAATTCAGACGCTTGGCAACTGACTCGTATTTATGACGGTTGCAGTGACCTGGGGAGTCACGTGGTGACTCAATAATAATAATAATAATAATAATAATAATAATAATAATAATAATAATAATAATGATGATGATGATGATGATGATGATGATGATGATAATGATAATGATAATAATAATGATGATAATGATAATAATAATAATAATAATAATAATAATAATAATAATAATAATAATAATAAAGTTGGAAGGGACCTTGGAGGTCATCTAGTCCAACCCCCTGCTCAGGCAGGAAACCCTACACCATTTCGGACAAACGGCTGTCCAGTCTCTTCTTAAAAACTCCCAGTGTTGGAGCATTCACCGCTTCTGGAGGCAGGTTGTTCCACTGGTTAATTGCAAAGTCCATGGGGAAGCCGGATTCATTTAACGCCCGTGTGACTAACTTTATAACAACTGTGGCAAAAAAATGTCATAAAATGGGGCAAAACTCAGGCAATAGCTTCCTTGCTTAGCCACAGAACTTTTGGGCCGAATTGAGGAATACCTTTATAGCAAACCAAAGTTTATTTTTGTGGCTTTCTACAAAAAAAAACCCACACACACAATGTTCATGTAAATTCAAGGCCCAAACAATGAATGGTTTGATGGACCCACTTATTTCAAACAAGGGGCCAGGAGAAACCACAAAAAACCCCCAAATCCATCATATCTTAAGCAGCATCTTGTACGAACCCCGTTATAGGATCTGGGCTGCAAAAATCATGTTTCCCAACCCTACATACAGGTAATCCACATCTTACACACGTTTTGTTTAACGACTGTTTGAAGTTATGACAACCTTGAAAAAAAAGTGTGAGACACGACTGATCCTTGCACTAACAACCATCGTCGCACGATCAAAACCGGCACGTATTTACAATGGCCGCAGCATCCCGGGATCCCGGGATCCCCATTGGCGACTTTCCCACCCTACTTCTGACAAGCAAAGTCAAACGGGGGAAGCTGGATTGGCTGAACCACACCGCATGATTCGCTTAACGACCGCACTTTTCTCTGAAGTGCAGTGATTCCCTTAACAACCGTGGCAGGAACAGGTTGTAAAATAATCAGATACGACCAAGTTAGCAACTGCCTTGCTGAGCAGCCGAAATTCTGCTGTCCTCAGATCGGTATATTTTTCAGAGATTCTCAACCGCAGTTAAGGAGCTAGTCCCTCACGTTTGCCAATCTGAGTGGAGGACGGAATAAGCGCAGCGTGGCTTTGGAACGCAGGTAGACGCCAGAAGGGAAACCTCCACGCACAACAGTGTGCAATCCATCCTTGCCCCCCCCCCCCGGGTGCCCTTCTTGTGTCCGATCCGAATTCCCAAACAGACACGTGCGCAGAATGGCGATATCCAGAGGTTTATTTTGGTCTCGTTTCACAGGGTCGGCCCGCCCGGTGCTGGGACGGTCCTGAACACAGTTGGCTCCCCCGCTCCCACCCCCCCACCCCGCTCATGGGAGTGTGTGCGTGCACATACGGGGGGGGGGAAGGAAATAAGAGCAGAGGGGAGCCTGGCACACGTGTGAATTTCAAGTAGGGGAGAGAAGACAACAGTAGTAATGCACACTTAAAAAGTGCTTTGGCCTGCCTTGGTCCCTGCTTTTCGCTTTGGCCTCAAGATGAGGGCTGAGGACGGGGGTGCACGGACAACCCCCCCTCATTTCCCCCCCAGCCCCCCCTTGTCCTTGGCTCTCGTTGTGTGCAAAAAGATAAACAGCCCTTTCGGGCAAGGCCTCCATTGGCTGGAATTTTTTTCAGGGAGAGGAAAGGAATGGAAAGCTAACCAGGACCATGGGGGGGAGGGGGTTTCTCTCGATCCTGGTGTCGTTTCCCCCTGCGCCCCCCCTCCCCATGAAATGGGGAAGACCCACTGGCGTGGGAGGAAAGGGAGCAGAGGGGAGAACTAAGATAGCTGCCTGTAAGGAGGAACCAGGATGGCAACGTGAAAAGGGCACCACGAGGCGAGCCAACGCTGGCTTGACAGCTTAGTGTTCATTGCATAGCGGAGACGTGGGGAGGAAGTTAGCCCCCAGTTCTCACCACTGAGGATCTAGGGGTTGTTTTTTTTTTTTAATGTCTTTCCCTGTAGAATAGCAGTCTGTGGTCCTCCGATCTTTGGCCACACGACAGGCCAGGATCCCATCGCATGAAGTCTGGCAGGCCACATCTGGAAACTGTGGGTCCCTGGTCATTTGGGGATCGTGCCTCCCGGGGGGCAGGAGGTGTCCCCCCACCAGGACGAGGCTGGCAGATCCTCTTGTGGAGTTGGGTGTGGTCCGGAGGTCCAGCAAACGGCGGGGCTGAGCGTCTCTGGGGCTGACCGCGTGGAGCTCCCGAGAAAAGGGTCGGCGGGTGCCGAAAAGTCCCCCCAGGCGAACGGATTCGAATTGGGCGCCCCGAAAGGATTGGTGCTTTCGGGACCGGAGGTTTTGACTTGACGTGGGCCCAGACGGGGGGACTGGACCGGGGTGACCGCTGGCGAGGCCCGAGATCCCGACGACACGAAGCTCCAAGGGTCGATCCGGCTGCGGATTGGGGAAGGGCGGGGGCGGGAAATGAGGGTGGGGTGAAGGGAGGGGCGAGGGGAGCGGGGGCTGCGGGGGGAGGAGGGAGACGGGAAAGCGCCATCTGTGGAAAGACAGGGAGAGCAAAGCTGCAATTGAGGTGGGGAAGAGATTCTGGTGCATAGGTGGACTTCAACTCCCAGAATTCCCCAGTCGGCATGCTTTAAGATGGGTGGACTTCAAATCCCAGAATCCCCCATGCTTTAAGATGGGTGGACTTCAACTCCCAGAATCCCCCATGCTTTAAGATGCATGGACCAACGCCCAGAATCCCCCAGCCAGCATACTTTAAGCTGAGAGGGCTTCAACTCCCAGAATCCCCCATGCTTTAAGCTGAGAGGGCTTCAACTCCCAGAATCCCCCATGCTTTAAGATGCATGGACTTCAACGCCCAGAATCCCCCAGCCAGCTTGCTTTAAGCTGAGAGGGCTTCAACTCCCAGAATCCCCCATGCTTTATGATGCATGGACCTCAACGCCCAGAATCCCCCAGCCAGCATGCTTTCAAATAAGTGGACTGCTGCCACTCACCCCACTTTGGGGTCTTGGTGGTCCGGCCTTCCGCGAGCTGAGGGACCCTGGGTGACTCCCTCGTCCAGAGGGGCGGCAAGGCGGTCCTGTCCCCCACCGAGGCCAGGTCAATGAGGAGCTCCGTGGCAGCGTCGTCCGTGCAGGGCTCCACCTGCAGGGCAGGGGTGGGGTCTCTTCGGGGAGAGGGCTTCCTAGCACCTGGCCCCTCCACGGGCCTCTCCTGAGAGGGGATCGGCAACTCCCGGCCCAAGCCCAGGGCGGCCAGCAAGGCTGAACCCCGGAGCAGGACTCTCTCGATGAGTCTGGGCCCGCTCGGCCTTTCCAGTGTTGGCTCCTCGGTTTCTGCCGAGGTGATGGGAATATCACCTGGAAGGACGAAAGAATGAGAAAATGGTAAGTGGCAACTTGGCAAATTTAAACCCAGGTTGGACTGGGTTCCCTCTCAGTAGCCTACAGATTGGGGTCTGTTTCTCTCCGTAGAATATTTAGCCTCACTCTTCAGGCTGGTCGGCTTCCAGAATGAAAAACTAGAGTAGGTCCCAAAGATGTTTTTGCAGGAGGCAACTGGACTTTGAAGACGTTTCGCTTCTCCGAGAAGCTTCTTCAGCTCTGACTGGATAGTGGGGAATGGAAGGATTTATACTCCTTGCAGAGAGCTGGTTATTTGCATTTTTTTTAGAGAGTCGTTGAGGCCACTTGTAGGTTTATCTGTATCTTCAGGGTCATTTGAGTAGTGCAAAAATGGGAGTGGAACACAGTCCTTTCAGCAATTCCAAGAAGGCTCCCCATCCATTTGCACCACTCAGGTGATCCTGAGGACACAGATAAACCTGCAAGTGGCCTCAACGGCTCTCTAAAAGAAGGCAAATGACCAGTTGTTTGTTTTTCTTTGAAGACGTTTCGCTTCTCATCCAAGAAGCTTCTTCAGCTCTGACTGGGATGGTGGGGAATGGAAGGATTTATACTCCTTGCAGACAGCTGGTCATTTGCCTTCTTTCAGAGAGCCGTTGAGGCCACTTGGGAGGTTTATCTGTGTCCTCAGGGTCACCCGAGTGGTGCAAATGGGTGTGAAGCCTTCTTGGAACTGCTGAAAGGACTGTTCCACACCCATTTGCACTACTCAGGCGACCCTGAGGACACAGGTAAATCTTCAAGTAGCCTCAACGACTCTCTCAAAGAATGCAAATGACCAGCAAGGAATATAAATCCTTCCATTCCCCACCATCCAGTCAGAGCTGAAGAAGCTTCTTGGAGGAGAAGCGAAACATCTTCAAAGAAAAACAAGGAAGTCCAGTGGCCTCCTGAAAAAGCATCTTTGGGACAACCGTGACCTGGAGGACGGGAAATCTCCATAGACAGAAAGACGATTAGGCTGCTCTTTTTTATTACCCCCCCCCCAAAAGGCACAGCATAAAAGGAAAGATAAACCGGAGGGAAGAGGAAAAATAAGACGCTCCGTTTTCTATCCCTTAAAACTGAACAGTGATTATTTTTTGTCTTGGGATGCCACCACTGGCGTGTTATAATAACTAAAAATGGCTGTGGAAGCACTTTTAGACGTCTCTTTATGAAGTACAAGGCAGACCTCGGCTTACGACCACAGTGAAATTTCGGTTGCTAAGCGAGACAGTTGATAAGCGAGTCTTGCCCCTATTTTACGACCTTTCTTGCCACAGTTGTTAAGCGAATCACTGCAGTTGTCAAATTAGACAGACGGTTGTTAAGTGAATCCGGCTTCCCCATTGACTTCGCTTGTCAGGAGGTCGCCAAAGGGGATCACTGCGACCGTCATAAATACGCTGCGACCGTCATAAATATGAGTCAGTGGCCAAGCGTCCGAATTTCGTTCGCATGATCCTGAGGATGCTGCATCGTTCGTAAATGTGCAAAACGGTCCTAAGTCCCTTTTTTTCAGTGCCGTTGTAACTTGGAACGGTCACTAACCTGAACTAACCTGACCGCTGTAAGTCGAGGACTACCGTTAGCTCGAATTGCAAGAAAACCAAAAGGAAGACGATGGGACTCACCGTTTTGGCTGGACTGTGGATGCAGCTGCGAGTGTACAGGGGAACCGCCCGGTTCTACGTACCACGTCGTCTCTTCTGGACGCGATCTTCTCCTGCCGTGGAGAGAAACGAGGATGGGGGACAATCCTGAAACCGCTGCTCTGTGGGAGTCACTGAATCCGCCAGAAATACTTTTTATTATATTCTCCATTTTATTCTGGGGCTCACTGTGAGTTGTGACCCTAATTAAAAACTCTGGTCAGTCACTCTATGCAGGGTTTCTTAACCGAGAGCAACTTTTAAGATATGGGGACTTCAACTCCCAGAATTCCCCAGCCGGTCAGCATGTGTGGACTTCAATTCCCAGAATTCCCCAGCTGGTCAGCATGTGTGGACTTCAACTCCCAGAATTCCTGAGCTAGCCATGCTGAGGGGAAAAAGAGAGGTTTCCAAGCTGAGCCATGCTGGCTCAGGAATTCTGGGAGTTGAAGTCCACGGGTCATAAAAGAGCCAAGGTGGCCTACCCCTATCCTAGGACGAAGATTAAGAGCAGGGGTCTTCAAACTTAGCCCTTTTATGACTCGTGGACTTCAACTCCCAGAATTCCTGAGCCAGCGTGAGGGAAACTTTGGCCCCCTCATGACTGGTGGACTTCAACTCCCAGAATTCCTGAGCCAGCCTGGCTCAGCTTGGAAACCTCTCCCTTTACCCTCAGAGTGGCTGGCTCAGGAATTCTGGGAGTTGAAGTCCACGAGTCATAAAAGAGCCAAGGTGGCCTACCCCTGCCAATTGCGATGAGGGTAAGATAGAGGCTCTCTACCTGCCATTTTGTGTACTGCGCTCAGACATTTTGGGGGACCCCGGGCTCTTGGTATGGCCGTTCCAGGTCTCGTCTCCCCGACGGGGTGCTTGTCGGGTCCGGTTCTGATCCTTCTCGCTCGGTTCCACTGTGGGGAGGACAAAAAAAACCAATGGGCAATTAAACAAACTGTACATTTTTGGTCACGAGGATACAAAAAAGATGCTGAGACTCTGGAAAGAGTGCAGAGAAGAGCAACAAAGATGATGAGGGGGCTGGAGGCTAAAGCATATAAAGAACGGTTGTGGGAATTGGGTATGTCAAGTCTAGTGAAATGATGGAAGTCTTCCACTATTTGAGGGGCTGCCACAAAGAAGGGGGGGGGGGTCAACCGATTTTCCAAAGCACCTGAAGGCAGGACAAGAAGCAACGGATGGAAACTAACCAAGGAGAGAAGCTAGAACCTCGAATACTGACAAAATATTTGTAGCTCAGGGTTCAACTTTGGGGTCCTTGGTGCTCTCTGAGCTTGGTGGTTTTCTTGCAGACGTTTCATGACTCAACTAGGTAACTTCATCAGTGCTAAGAGGAAGAAGAAGAAGAAGAAGAAGGAGGAGGAGAAGGAGGAGGAGGAGAAGAAGAAGAAGAAGAAGAAGAAGAAGAAGAAGAAGAAGAAGAAGAAGAAGAAGAAGAAGAAGAAGAAGAAGAAGAAGAAGAAGAAGAAGAAGAAGAAGAAGAAGAAGAAGAAGAAGAAGAAGAAGAAGAAGAAGAAGAAGAAGAAGAAGAAGAAGAAGAAGAAGAAGAAGAAGGAGAAGAAGAAGAAGAAGAAGAAGAAGAAGAAGAAGAAGAAGAAGAAGAAGAAGAAGAAGAAGAAGAAGAAGAAGAAGAAGAAGAAGAAGAAGAAGAAGAAGAAGAAGAAGAAGAAGAAGAAGAAGAAGAAGAAGAAGAAGAAGAAGAAGAAGAAGAAGAAGAAGAAGAAGAAAGACGGTGGTTGTGGGGTCCTTGGTGTTCTCTGAGCTTGGTCGTTTTCTTGCAGACGTTTCATGACCCAACTAGGTAACTTCATCAGTGCTCACATAGACAAAACTCCCCCTCCCTTCTAGCACTGCTGATGTTATCTAGTTGGGTCATGAAACGTCTTCAAGAAAACAATCCAGCTCAGAGAACATCAAGGACCCCAAAAATCAACCTGAGCTGCAAATATTCTATCTGTCGCTAAATGAACGGTCGTAAGTTAAGGATTTAACTCTATCAGCATCTAAACTTGTTAAGATGTGTCTGAGGGATTTGTCCAGAGGAACCCCATGCCACTCACATTGGATAGCTCGGAACCGTGGGAAGGTGGGAGAGCCACCAGCTCCCACATCAAAGAAATCCTTCCTTTTGTCCAGCCCTGGGGAAGCCTGAACTGTGATGCGATGCTTAAAATCTGAAAAAAGAAAAGAGAGAAAAAAAACATGTAAACCACATTGAAGTTGATCAGGTCGGATCTAGCATTTTCTGCACTCGTCAAGCGGTGTGTTAATGTGTGCATCACATTTATTTCCCAGGTTTCCCAAGTGCCCCAGATTTATTTCCCACCCAGAATCCCTGTGGACGCTACATGTATTTCCCCAGATCCCTGAGGGCGCCACATTTATTTCCCAAGATCCCTGATTTATTTCCCAGAATCCCTGAGTATTTCCCAGGATGTATTTCCCAGACACTCTCTGTGCACCAGATTCATTTCCCAAGATTCCCGAGGACACCACATTCATTTCCCAGAATCCCTCAGCCCACCCTATTTACTTCCCAGAATCCCCGAGAAGGCTGCTCCATGGCCACAGTAACCTGCAACAAATGCTTTTGCAAAAGAAACACACACACACACCCGGCAACCAAAGGACCTCCAGAAAGAGCGAAACCCACCCGGAGCCCCTTCCCCAGAGCCCGGATCCCCACCCGGCCTTCCTACCAAGCGGCATGCTGATGTGCTCGCTGTCCCGGCCTCGGAGCTTGTTTCTCTTGAAAGTGCCCTTGCGCTTCTTCACGTGCGGCCGATCGTGGTTCATCTGCTGGATCAGGAGACTGAGTTCGCGCTCAAAAACCTCCAGCTCCCACTGGGCCAGTTCGTGTTCCCGCTGGCGGAGGAACTCCTCCTGGGATTTCTGCTTCAGCGCCGCCTGATTCAGCTCCTCCTCGCGGCTCAACAGCTCCTGGGGAGAAGAACCCATCCCGGACGATCCCCCGTGAGAGAGGGAATCTCTGGGTCTCCCAGGAGGGGATCCTTGGAGAAGCCAAGGCGGACAAGCAAATCAGTTATTAACTGCCTCACGGGTCATTAAACAAATCTAGCTTTGGCTTTGCTCGTCAGAAGCTGACTGGGAAGTTTGCAAGTGGCGGGTTGTGTGACCCCGGGACGCAGCGACTGTTGTAAATACAGGCCGTCCTCGATTTACAACAGTTCGGTTACTGACTGTTCACTAAAGTTACAACGGCACTGAAAAAAGTGACTTGGGAGCGTTTCTCACACTTACGACCGTTACAGCATCCCCATGGTCACGTGATTTACTTTCGGATGTTTGACAACTGGTTCCTATTTATGACGGTTGCAGGGCCCCGTGGGGGTGTGTGTCATGTGATCCCCTTTTGTGACCTTCTGACAAGCCAGGTCAATGGGGAAGCCGGATTCACTTAACAACGGTGTTACTAATTTGACGACTGCAGTGATTCCCTTAGCCAATGTGGCAAGGAAAGTTGTAAAAATGGGGCAAAACTCACTTAACAAATGTCTCGCTTAGCAACCTATATTTTGGGCTCGATTGTGGTCATAAGACAAGGACTACCTGTAACAACTTCCTAGACGTTCTCTTGCTTGAATGGGGCTGGACTAGAAGACCTCCAAGGTCCCTTCCAGATTCTATTCTATTCTATTCTATTCTATTCTATTCTATTCTATTCTATTCTATTCTATTCTGCTGTTTGTTTCAATTACATTCACTTTTAATTTAATATTCCAGCCCCCTCACTTCTCTCTGAGTTTCTTTCTCTTCTTCATTTTTTGGCTGCCACGAGGCTGATTTTGAAAGTCTCTGGGAAGTAATTATTTCCTTTTTCCCAGGATCCCCTACTTAGTCATTCTGGAGCTTTCTCAGAAAACCAGATAGACGCCTTACGCTCAAGGCAAAAGTACATTCACTGGCAATTGCTCCTGACGTGACAGTCTTAAGAGTGACTATCTTCTAAATTATTCGCTTTCCCCCACATGGTGCACATTCTGTACCGTCACAGCCAACCAGCCAATGTGGTTGAAGCAAAAACAGGAAATCCCTGATGCTTCCTGCCCATTTTAGTTGAGCCACAAACACAACAGACGGTTCTCCTTTAGCCCAAAGCAAAACATTTTGCACTGTTTTAATTGGCTTTTAATTTGTATTTTTATGAAGTACAGGTAGTCCTCCACCAGAATTGAGCCAGGAATCATAGTTGTAAGTCATGCGGGTTTGTTCAGCAGGCCGACATGAGATGGATCAGATGCTTGCAACATTTTTATTTTTAATTTTTGCAGTACTGGCAGAAACCGAAACTAAATCCTGCTTTCTGGCAAAAACATTCTAAATCATGGTCACGTGATTGCAGGAGTCCGCAAACGGCTGCAAATGCTGGCTGGGTGCCGAGCACCAAAATGCAGTCACGTGAGTGTCGGGGGCCTCATTAGAACATCTCATCTGGATTGTAAGTGCTTTTTTTTCCAGCATCTGTCGTAATCTCACTAATTGCCACTAAGCAAATGGTCGTTCAGTCAAGGCCCACCTGTGTTTTAATCATTTTTAATTTGTTTTTATGTTTTGTGATGTACCCCAGCCAGAGTCAGAGGTTGAGATGGGTGGCTATATAAATCAGATCAACCAATCAGCAAATACACTTTTTATATCTGTACCCCACAACAGAAGGCAGGAGAAGAAGCAACAGATGGAAACTCATCAAGGAGAGAAGCAACCAGGAACGAAGGAGAAAATTCCTAACAGTGAGGACAATTAATCAGTGGAACAGCTTGCCACCAGAAGTTGTGTGTGTTCCATCACTGTAGCTTTTAAAAAAAGAGACTGGACAGCCATTTGAAATGATACAGGGACTCCTGCTTGAGCAGGGGGTTGAACTAGATGACCTCTAAGGTCCCTTTCAACCCTCTTTCAGGTAGTCCTCAACTTACAATTGAGCCCCACATTTTAGTTGCTAAGTGAGACATTTGTTAAGTGAGCTTTGCCCCATTTTTCCACCTTCCTTCCACAAGCGAACCATTGCAGTTGTTAAAATTAGAAACACAGCTGTTAAGTGAATTCTGCTTCCCCGTCTGACTTTGCTTCTCAGAAGGACGCAAAAGTTGATCACGTAACCCCGGGAGACACTGCAACCGTCATAAATAGGAACCAGTTGCCAAGCATCTGAATTTTGATCATTGGGGATGCTGCACTAGTCGTAAGTGTGAAAAACAGTCATAAGTCACTTTTTGCAATGCCGTTGTAACTTTGAATTAATAATAATAATAATAATAAAGTTGGAAGGGACCTTGGAGGTCATCTAGTCCAACCCCCTGCTCAGGCAGGAAACCCTATACCATTTCAGACAAATGGCTGTCCAGTCTCTTCTTAAAAACTTCCAGTGTTGGAGCATTCACCGCACTGGTTAATTGTTCTCACTGTCAGGAAATTTCTCCTTAGTTCTAAGTTGGTTCTCTCCTTGATCAGTTTCCATCCGTTGCTTCTTGTCCTGCCTTCAGGCGCTTTGGAGAATAGCTTGACTCCCTCTTCTTTGGGGCAGCCCCTGAGATATTGGAAGACTGCTATCCTGTCCCCCCTCGTCCTTCTCTTCATTAAACTAGACATCCCCAATTCCAGCAACCGTTCCTTATATGTTTTGGCCACCAGTCCCCTGATCATCTTTGTTGCTCTTTTCTGCACTCTTTCTAGAGTCTCAACATCTTTTTTACATCGTGGTGACCCAAACTGGATGCCGTATTCCAAGTGTGGCCTCACCAAGGCCTTGTAAAGTGGTATTAATACTTCACGTGATCTTGATTCTATCCCTCTGTTAATGCAGCCCAGCATTGTGTTGGCTTTTTTGGCAGCTGCACCACACGGCTGGCTCATATTTAAGAGATTGTCCACTAGGACTCCGAGATCCCTCTCACAGTTGCTACTATTGAGCAAGGTACCACCTATTGTCACTAAATGAACTGTTGTAAGTCGAGGACTACCTATATAGGGCAACCGCTGTGGGTTGGACTAGAAGACCTCCAAGGTCCCTTCCAACGCTGGTATTGTTATATTATTTAACTGCATCCTGGATTTGAGCCCTGTTTGGAAAGGGACCCCCCCACACACAGACATACTCAGCCTTTCCCTTCTGATTCTCACCTTCTCTTTTGCCCGCAGCTCGTCGAACATATCCTGGATCTCCACTTTCCAGTCGTCCTGCATGGAGTGGAAGGATTCTTGTGGCAGGTCGCGCAGCACCTGCGTTTCGAGGACCGTCAGCTGATCAAGGATGGAGGCAAAGCTGGGGCGCGCATGGGGGTCCTGCTGCCAGCACTCTGGTGGGACCGACAGACAGCAGAAGAGGGAAACAAAAAGAGAGGAGTCAAATAACAAAGCTGAGAATCAGTCGCCCCTTGGAGACTGTGCAACGTTGAGCTGTTGGACCTTTCTGTTATGTACCCCATGCGTAGGAGTTGTGCTTAAGGCAGGGACAGCGTGACTGGTTAGGGAAGAGAAGAGGGAGAAGGCAGCTGTTGCAAGCATCTGGATTCTGATCACATGACCCTGGGGATGCTGCTTATGAAAAACGGTCATAAGTCACTTTTTGCATTGCTGTTATAACTTCAGACGGTCAAGGTTGCAAGCCGAGGGCTGCCTGTACTGGGAACACTGCTGCCAGCATAGATTTCAGCTGAGTTAACAGAAGGGAAGAGAAACATTTAAAAAAAGACTTTTTGTTCCAATCTAGCAGAGTTTTTATGCTGAAAATCCCCAATCTGGCCTCTGAGATATTTTTTTTTCTTACCTGTCATCAGACGTGAAAAGGATTCTGGGCACGTGGAAGGTATCGGAAGGGTGAGTTTGTTGACGGCAACCCCATAAGCCACTGCCAGCCCGTCAATTCCCCGGTATGGAACTTCGCCGGTGAGGAGTTCCCACAGGAGCACTCCGTAACTGGAAGAAGAAGAAACAGGGAAAAGATTACAGATAGTCCTCGACTTTATTTGGAGGGGACCTTGGAGATCTTCTAGCCCAGCCCCCTCCTCCAGTAGGAGACCCTGCCTACACCATTTCAGATAGATGGCTCTCCAATCTCTTCTTAAAAAATCTCCCACGATGGAGCACCCACAACTTCTGGAGGTAGATTGTTCCACTGATTGATTGTTCTCACAGTTATTAAGTTTCTCCTTAATTCCAGGTTGCTTCTCTCCTTAATTAGTTTCCATCCATTGTTTCTTGCCTGCCCTTTGGTGCTTTGGAGAATAAGTTGACCCCCCCCCCTTCTTGTGACAGCCCAAAACTGGATGCAATATTCCAGGCGTGGTCTTACTAAGGTTTTATCTATCTATCTATCTATCTATCTATCTATCTATCTATCTATCTATCTATCTATCTATCTATCTATCTATCTATCTATCTATCTATATCATCTTTCTCTCTCTGTATATATATACAAATATATATCTCTCTCTCTGTATATATATATAAATATAATCCATCTATCTATCTTTCTCTCTTCCTTCTCTCTCTCTCTCTCTCTCTCTCTCTATCTATCTATCTATCTATCTATCTATCTTTTCTCTCTCTGTGTGTGTGTGTGTGTGTGTGTGTATAAAAAATCCATCTATCATCCATCCATCCATCCATCCATCCATCCATCCATCCATCCATCCATCCATCTATCTATCTATCTATCTATCTATCTATCTATCTTTTCTCTGTGTGTGTGTGTATAAAAAATCCATCTATCATCCATCCATCCATCCATCCATCCATCCATCCATCCATCCATCATCTATCTATCTATCTATCTATCTATCTATCTATCTATCTATCTATCTATCTATCTATCTATCTATCTATCTATCTATCTATCTGTCTGTCTATCTGTCTATCTATCTATCTTTTCTCTCTCTGTATATATATATGTCTCTCTGTGTGTTTGTGTGTGTGTGTGTGTATAAAAAAATCCATCTGTCATCTATCTATCCATCTATCCATCCATCTCTAAATGAACCGTTGTAAGTCGGGGACTGCTATGTAAGTCTAAGATCTATTCATGCATTTAAATCACGCATTTGCTTTCTGGCAAGCTGTCCACCACAAAGTCAAAGGACTCCGTGGCCAAACAGGTTTTGAACCTCTGTCCTTCATCCATCTGGAGAAACTCTCCAGATTTTCCCCCCCCCCCCACCTTACCTCCAGATGTCGCTACCGCGGGAAAAAGTGGAATTTTTGATGACTTCCGGCGCCATCCAGGCGTAAGTCCCAGCCGCGCTCATCTTAGTGGTTTTGTGCCATTCTCTGGCCAGCCCGAAATCGGTGATCTTTAGGGTCTTCCCACTGACCTCACCATCGTCCACGTGTTCGCTCAGCAGGACTGTGGAAGGAAAAAGAGAACGCATTCAGACAACCCCAGAGACAGGCAAGCCGTGTTTTTGAACAGCCGGTTCTGGGAACTCTTCCCTGTACAGACGTAGGATCCCAATTGATCCCAAAACTTGGTTCACAGTGGTTAAGTGAATTTTGCCCCCCCCCCCCCATCGCACAACCTTTCTTGTCACAGTTGTTAAGTCCATCACTGCAGTTGTCAACTTTAGTCACATGGTTGTTCACTTTGCTTTATCACAAGATCACGAAAGGGGTTTCACATGACCCCGGTCGTAGATACGAGTCAGTTGCCAAGCGTCTGAATTTCGATGGTGGGACCAATGGTGAAAAACGGTCGTAAGTCATTTTTTTCTTTTTTTCTTTTTTTATAAGGATTTTATTAGTTTTTCTCTTATATACATGTGTTAGTTTTTCAACCAGCGCGCTGTCTGGATTCAAAAGCGCTAAGACATAATCAATTCCTAATCCTTGGTTTTTTCCTCTAGAATGACTCCCAGATTTGGTAGTATTCTGTTTCTTCTTTATCTTTCAATCTCATAGTTAATCTGTCCATCTCTGCACATTCCAATATTTTTTTAATTATTTCTTCCTCTAGTGGTACTGCTTCATTTTTCCAGGATTGCACGGAGACTATTCTTGCTGCTGTTAACGACGTGTAAAGCCAAATATAAACTTTGTTTATTAGTCTTTCCTGGCCTTATACATAGTAGAAAAAAAATCAGGTTTAAATTCCACATGTTCTCCCAACATTTTTTTCTAACCAAACATGTATCTTTTTCCAATAAGCCTTTGCTTTACCACATGTCCACCAAATATGATAATACGTGCCTGAGTTATGTTAAGTCATTTTTTTTCAGCGCTGTTGTAGCCTGGAACGGTCACTAAATGAATCGTTATAAGTCAAGGACTATGTAGTTCCGCGGACCGAAAAGTTCGGTCATAAATCATGGCGGATGTAACTCGGGGAACCATGTGGCCAGACCTGAATTTGTTGGCATTTTTTTCAGCAATCGTTAAGCAAATGCTGAAATTATTAAGCGAGTTCATTTTCTCCAATAGGCATTTTTCAGCTGGTTACAGGGAGCCCTTGACTTATGCCCAGTTGTTTAAGGATCTTTCGCAGTCACAACGGCCTTGGAACTGGTGCTTTTACGGTCCAGAAAGCACTTGGGGCTAAATGTCTCACCATGACTGCGCCTCAAGTGCCTGGCAACCTGTTTGCATTTACAACCAGTTGCAAAGTGCCCTGTTATCCACGTGATCGCCATTTGCAACATTCTCCACAGGCTTCCCCAGAAGGTCAGTGGGGAAGCCAAGAGGAAAAATTGCAGCTGGAGGGGCTGCTGAAATTGAGGTCTGTTCCCCCAATAAACAGAAGGACTCCGTTGTTGTTTATTGGTAGTATGCCAAAAATGTTTAAAAGCACATCCCAATTACATTTACAATTAAATTAAATTATAATTACAATCAAAGCGCCTAAAGGCAGGACAAGAAGCAACGGATGGAAACTCATCAAGGAGAGAAGCAACCTAGAATAAGGAGAAACTTCCTGACAGTTAGAATAATTAGCCAGTGGAACAACCTGCCTCCAGAAGCGGTGAATGCTCCAACACTGGAAGTTTTTAAGAAGAGACCGGACAGCCACTTGTCTGAAATGATATAGAAGACCACCAAGGTCTCTTCCAGTTCTATTCTGATGGATGGATTGAAGTAGCCTTGCAAGAAGCTGGCCAGTTCAGAGTTTGATAGCGGTGCTGTTCTTCTTCTCAAGGACTCTTTGTGGCTGGGGGAGATTTTTTCAGAGGGAAGAACAAACAGCGCAGCCCAGCAACCTCTTGAAACAATGCCCTGCATGCCTGGGAGAGGTTTTTTTTTTTTACTGGTGGTGGTGGGGGGTCCCATTGGCTTCCTCCAACTTGCTTCCTGCCCGTCTTTTTCCTGGCTTCCCCCTCCGTCCAAGAGCCCGGCGGGGAAGGGAAATTCAAAGAGCAGCTGGGGAAAGGTGGACGGAGAACCCCAGGGCTGGTGAGGTCCACCCTCTCCATTGCCGGGCAGAACAATGGGTCAATTCTCCGGCCGGCCCCAGACACAATGGAGCGCCTAGTGAGACGGCCTCCCCACGCACAAAATGTCTGCCTTGCCTACCGATTGTGGGAACGGAGCCCAACCGGCCTATGGGTTCCCTGGCTGGGATTTTGCTCAATCGGCGGGTTTCTGGGAGCATTGAAATTAAGAGGGACAGGACCTCTGATCACATGCAGAGCCCCCACCGGAGTTCCAGAGCAAGATTGTTGCTCTCTGTTTACGGATTGTCCTCGATTTACAACAGTTTCATTCAGTGACCGTTCAAAGTCACACCGGCACCGAAAAAAGGGACTTATGGCTGTTTTTCACACTTACGACCTTTGCAGCATTCCCATGAACAAAATTCTTGCCAACTGACTCGTATTTGTGACGGGCGCCGTGATCCCCTTTCGCAGCTTTCTGACAAGCGAAGTCACTGGGGGAAGACAGCTCCACTTAGCAACCGTGTTCCTAACTTAACAAACTGCAGCGATTCATTTAACAACGGTGGCGAGAAACGTGGTAGAGTGGGCCGAGATTCACTTGAACTGCCTCGCTTAGCAACAGAAATTTTGAGCCCCACTTTGGTCGTTAAGTCGAGGTCTTCCTGTACAAAATTCCGCTCCCGTTCGAAGGAGATTTCAGCAAGGGAGAAAGAATGTGAGACGGAGGCGGCTGAAGTGGGAATTTTTATTTATTTTATTTTCTTGGGTAGGGTTTATATGCCACCCATCTCACCTTGAATTTTCTGCCCAGTCGGGGGGGGGGATATTTTTAGGGAAAGAAAGAAAGAAAGAAAGAAAGAGAAAGAAAGAGAAAGAAAGAAAGAAAGAAAGAAAGAGGAAGGAAGGAAGGAAGGAAGGAAGGAAGGAAGGAGAAAGAAAAGAAAGAAAGAAAGAAAGAAAGAAAGAAAGAAAGAAAGAAAGAAAGAAAGAAAGAAAGAAAGAAAGAAAGGAAAAAGATGGGAAAGGAAAGAAGGAAAGGGAAGGAAGAAAGAAAGAAAGAACGAAGGAAGGAAAGAAAGGAAAAAAGAAAGAAAGAAAGAAAGAAAGAAAGAAAGAAAGAAAGAAAGAAAGAAAGAAAGAAAGAAAGAAAGAAAGAAAGAAAGAAAGAAAGAAAGAAAGAGTCACTTGACTGGTGAGATGGACAGCACGTCAATTCAATAAACAAATAAAAAAAAACAGAAAGCTGCTAGATCTCATGAATTTGCCTCCCTCTCCACTGCCCATTCTGGTTTTCTCCCTCAAAGCCATAAATATCAAGAGTCGCAACGTTTCCGGCATTGCCTGTCCGTCTGCAAGGACAGCCCCCCCCCACCCCCTCGATTAGCTGGAAGGCAAAGAAAGCTGACTTAGTGTCGCAACCGGTCCACGAAACCAGCAAAAAGGAAGGAAGCAACTGGTGACACTGGATCCCCGTGGCGAGATGAGAAAGCGGAAAGGAGGCAGGGGGAAGGGAGGGAGAGGATGCAGCTACTGTGCTGCTGCTGCTGCACAATCCCCCCCCCCCTCGCCCCAAATTCACAATTTCCTGTGCTTGCCAACTCCTGAAAACAGGAGCAGCAGCAAAGGAGGGGGGGGCGTTGGGGAGGGGGAAGGAGTAGATGCACCGGTGTGAATTTGAGGTCAGAAAGTCCAGATCTAGAAATTGTAGATTGGCCTTGAAACTCGCCCTGGATTTCATCCCAGGAGAGACTAACCAGGTTTATTTCTCCTCCAACAAAAGGGCTCCAGATTCATATACGGAGCCCAACAAATGGTAAGATCACCAGGACTGCAGCCAAGAAATTAAAAGATGTTTGCTCCTGGGGAGGAAAGCTATGGCAAATCTAGACAGCATACTCAAAAGCAGAGACATCACCCTGCCAACAAAAGTACATATAGTCAAGGCTGTGGTTTTCCCAGTTGCAATATATGGCTGTGAAAGTTGGACCATAAGAAAGGCCGAGCGCCAAAGAATGGAGGCCTTTGAACTCTGGTGCTGGAGAAGACTCCTGCAAGTCCCCTGGACTGCAAGGCGATCCAACCGGTCAGTCCTAGAGGAGATCAACCCTGACTGCTCTTTAGAAGGCCGGATCCTGAAGTGGAAACTCAAGTCCTTTGGCCACCTCATGAGAAGGAAGGACTCCCTGGAGAAGAGCCTGATGCCGGGAAAGATGGAGGGCAAGAGAAGAAGGGGACAATGACAGAGAATGAGGTGGCTGGATGGAGTCCCTGAAGCAGCAGGCGTGAGCTTCAATGGACTCCAGAAGATGGTAGAGGACAGGAAGGCCTGGAGGAACGTGGTCCATGGGGTTGCGATGGGTCGGACACGACTTCGCAACTAACAACAACAACTGCTTTATAATGCCTTGGTAAACATTTCAAATATCGCATCCAGTTTTGGTCGCCACGATATAAAAAAAGATGCTGGTGGTTGGGAAAGAGGGCAAAGAGCAACAAAGATGATCAGGGGGCTGGTGGCCAAAACATTGGATGAGTGGTTGTGGGAACTGGAACTATCCTGGACAGAGGGCTGGACTAGAAGACCTCCAAGGTCCCTTCCACCCCTGTTATTCTTTATTTTGTGGGTATGTCTAGTCTAGGGAAAAGAAGGATTAGCGGGGACATGATAGCTGTCTTCCAACAGGTTTTCCTAACCCAGATGACCTCCGATTGTCGGAAAGCAACTTTACTCCTGTCCCATTTTCACTTCTGATAAACAGGCCTGGCGGGTTTTTCTGCCATCCTCTGCAAACCTTGGAAAACCTGCCGGATCGGAAGTGTGTGTATGTGTGTGTGTGTGTGGGGGGGGGAATTGTGATTGTATGCAAACCACGGCAACCAAAATTTGTAACGTGTCACCCCTGTCTCTGCCAACCCAAAATAGTAGATTGCTACTTTGCTGTAAGGTAGTCCTTGATTTTGCAACCATTGGTTTAGCTAACTATTCAAAGTTACCGTGGCACTGAAAAAGAGGCTTGCGACCGGTCCTCACACTTACGACCATTGCAGCATCGGGGATAGGCAACCTTGGCTCTTTTATGACTCATGGACTTCAACTCCCAGAATTCCTGAGCCAGCGTGGGGGAACTATGGCCCCCTCATGACTTGTGGACTTCAACTCCCAGAATTCCTGAGCCAGCATGGCTCAGCTCGGAAACCTCTCCCTTTCCCCTCAGCATGGCTGGCTCAGGAATTCTGGGAGTTGGTGTCCACCAGTCATAAAAGAGCCAAGGTTGCCCATGGTTACGTGATCAAAATTTGGCTGCTTTGCAAGGTATTTATGATGATGGTTGCAGCATCCTGAGGTCATGTGATCACCATTTGCAACTTTCCGGCAAGCAAACTTAATGGGAGAAGTCGGATCTGCTTAACAATGAGTGATTTGCTTAACGACGGCTGTGATTCACTGAACAACCATGGGGGGAAAAGTTGACTCACTTAACAGCCGCCTTGCTTAGCAGTGGAAATTCTGGAACCACCTGTGGTCGTAAGTCAAGGATTACCCGGTACTTCTTGACCTGTCCTCTGACTTACGACCACAATTGAGTGCAACATTTATGTTGCAAAGTGAGACATTTGTTAAGTGAGTTTTGCCCCATTTTACGACCGTTCTCACCACAGTTGTTAAGTGAATCGCTGCAGTTCTGAAGTTAGCAACACGGTTGTTAAGTGAATCTGGCTTCCCCCATTGATTTTGCTTGTCAGAAGGTTGCAAAAGGGGATCACGTGACCCCAGGACACTGCGACCGTCATAAGTATGAGTCAGTTGCCAAGTGGCTGAATTTTGATCATGTGATCATGGGGATGCTGCAACGGCCGTAAGTATGGAAAACGGTCATAAGTCACTTTTTCCAGTGCTGTTGTAACTTTGAACGGTCACTATATGAACCATCATAAGTTGAGGACGAATTGTAATAACACAGGAGCAAAGGAAGTGCACTCTGCACTTGCTCAGAAGTGCCATGTTTTTTTATTATTCCCATGTCATGGTTCAAAACGGCTAGAAGATCAAGGTTTCAGCAGCTAAACCCCAGTTAATATTAGACCCGGATTGTAGGAAAGTCTGAATGTTGTCACTGCTCCCCCCCCACACACAAATGTTTCCTAGTTTGTTCCTAGCATGATTTCGTGATTGAAGTGCTCCAGGTTCGAATCCTATGCTGAATCAACCAGAGCCCAGCCCTTCTCTACAGGAAGGAGAAGAATGTGTATAAACTATGTTTTAAAAATCTGGTTGTACAAGATTAGAGAGGTTTGATGTCTCAGAACATGACACCACAACGGCTTAGTGTGAGTCTAGGCAAGCAAAAACTCACAAGATTTCCGTTTCACAGGCAAGAAAATGAAAGCCATTTTGCATTTTAGGAACACACAAAAAAATCCAGCCCCTTAAAGAGGAAGGCTGGAGAACAGATGCCTTGTCTAAGAAATAAATCTCATATCTGCCTTCAGGTTTTCTGGGAAGACTCCATAATGCTCTCCCTGCAAGGATATTCATTTAATTATCAACCATCTTTCATGGAAAGATCACCGCAGATGGGGACTGCAGCCAAGAAATTAAAAGACACTTGCTCCTGGGGAGGAAAGCTATGGCAAATCTAGACATCATACTCAAAAGCAGAGACATCACCCTGTCAACAAAAGTACGTATGGTCAAGGCCATGGTTTTCCCAGTTGCAATGTGTTGGACCATAAGAAAGGCTGAGTGCCAAAGAATGGAGGCCTTTGAACTCTGGTGCTGGAGAAGACTCCTGCGAGTCCCCTGGAATGCAAGGCGATCCAGCCGGTCAGTCCTGGAGGAGATCAACCCCGACTGCTCTTTAGAAGGCCGGATCCTGAAGTTGAGACTCAAGTCCTTTGGCCACCTAATGAGAAGGAAGGACTCCCTGGAGAAGAGCCTGATGCTGGGAAAGATGGAGGGCAAGAGAAGAAGGGGACGACAGAGAAGGAGGTGGCTGGATGGAGTCCCTGAAGCAGGAGGCCTGAGCTTCAATGGACTCCAGAAGATGGCAGAGGACAGGAAGGCCTGGAGGAACGTCGTCCATGGGGTCGCGATGGGTCGGACACGACTTCGCAACTAACAACAACAAATCCTGGTTTTATTGGCAGGAAGTCCTTGACTGACAAGTCACATCTGAGCCCAAAATTTCTGTTTGCTAAGCAAAGCAGTTGTTCGGTGATTTTGGCCCTATTTTACAACCTACTTTGCCACCGTTGTTAAGCGAATCACTGCAGTTGTTAAGTTAATGACACGGTTGTTAAATGAATCTCGCTCTCCCACTAACTTTGCTTGTCAAAAGGCGATGGCATGACCCTGGGACACATGTTGGGCATCTGAATTTTTATCATGGGACCATGTGGTCGTTAAGTGTGAAAACTCCTCATAAATCACTTTTTTCGGGGCCGTTGTAACTCCGAGCAGTCAGTAAAGAAACGGCTGCAAGTCGAGAACTTAACCTGTAATTTGCACTCCCTACTTTGTTTTCCAGCAGACCCCCAGATTATCTAACACTGCAACGGACAAACTCTGCACGTGTGCAAAGTGCATTCCCTCCCCCCCCCCCAGATCCCGCCCGCCTGAGCTGACAAAGCTGGCTCTTCTATCCGTTTTGTAACAGGCTGGAAATTCATTCGCAAGAATCTCCCACTTTTTCTGCGCCGGATTCCAGCGGAAATAGGCCGGTCTTGTTTTGCATGGAAAGAAAAACAGGCATCTCGCCCTTACAGGAGGAAACACAAGGCCAGGAGAGAGACGGCCACCACCGTCACTTCCTCCTCGTGGGTCACTTGGGTCAAGCTCAGTCATCATTTGGTGGCCAACCTCAGGATCAGAACGGGATCGACTTGGCCATACAGAGAGGACGGGCCGGGTCTTTCCCTAATGTATGCCCACCTTTGCTTTAAAAAACCCTGCCCCCCTGGCAATCCCAGTTGAGTGGAAAGGGTGGGAAAGGAAGAGAACTCTGTGTATGCTCAGAGGAACGTTTGTTTCATACCCAGGAGAGCTGGGGGACGCTCTTGTCTAGCTTTCCTCTATGCCTGAGTCTAGAACTGTGTTGCCAAACCTCGGCCCCTTTCAGATGGGTGGACTTCAACTCCCACAATTCCCCAGCCAGCTATGGAGTTGAAGTCCGCCCATCTGAAAGGGACCGAGGTTGAGAAACATTGATCTAGACTCGCAGTGTTTCTCAACCTTACAGATGAATGGACTTCAACTCCCAGAATTCCCCAACAAGCCTAGCTAGCTGGGGAATTCTGGGAGTTGAAGTCCACCCATCTTAAAGTGGCCCAGGTTGAGAAACATTGATCTAGAATAGGGGTGTCAAACTGCCGGCAATGGCAAAACAGTCCTGATACGTTGCGTGACGTCACGTGACGTCGCGAGTTTGACATGTCTGATCTCGAGCAGTGTTTCTCAACCTCACAGAAATTCTGGGGGTTGCAGTCCACCCATCTTAAAGTGGCCAAGCTTGAGAAAGCAATGATCTAGATTAATTTGAATGAATCGATGGATCTGTGCTGGATCCCAGACTTTTCCTCGGAAATGATTTGATCGAAGGGAAAACGCCCCTTTACAAGTTGTTAGCAAGCTTCTGGAGGCCACCCCAACATTTCAGGGGACCCCTTCAAGGAACCCCAGGTGGAACGGAGGAATTGGGGGAACTGGGGTTGGGAACAAAGAGAATCTGAGCCACCCAAAGTAGGGGAGCTTCTTTTAAGTTTCCTAGATGTAGGGAAGTCCACAAAGAGGTCCAGAACTTCAAAATTGCCGCTTTTCCCGCGCAATTTGAAAACAGGACTTTGATTAGTCCAGCCAATGTTTTGACGCTTTGGACTGTCCCACCGGTAGCCTTCTCTAGGCAGATGGTTTTACCCGAAAAGAAAGATTGAAAAAAATAAAATAATAGTTCAATAAATAAAAATAAATAAAGATATATATATATATAAATACAGGTAGTCCTCGACTTAAAAGAGTTCAGTGACCGTTCAAAATTACAACTTATGACCCTTTTTCACCTTGACGATGGTTGCAGCATCCCCAGAGTCACGTGATCAAAAATCGGATTCTTAGCAACTGACTCGTATTTATGACGGTGGCGGTCTCCTGTGGTCACGTGATCTCCTGTGGTCACGTGATCAATGGGGAAGCCCACTTAAGAACAGCCGTGATTCTCTTAATCACTGTGGCAAGAAAAGGACGTAAAAGGGAGCAGAATTCACTTAACAATTGTCTCGCTTAGCACCAGAAATGTAGGTCTCCATTGTGGTCATAAATTGAGGACTCCCTGTACTTTGCAACTTTAAGATGTGTGGACTTCAACTCCCAGAATTCCCCAGCGGCCATGCTGTCTGGCTGGGGAATTCTGGGAGTTGAAGTCCACGCATCTTAAAGTTGCAAAGTACAGGGAGTCCTCAACTTACGACCACAATGGAGCCCAATATTTATGTTGCTAAGTAAGACATTTGTTAAGTGAGTTTTACCCCATTTTACGGTCAACTGCGGTCATAAGTTGAGGACTACCTGCAAAAAAATGGCAGGAGCAATCCATGTGGCGTTAAAAAGAGACAATTCAGGGCCAAGTCCGAATTTGGGGGGGCCACCGTTCCGCTCAGCTGTGGGCCCTGCAGCCAGACCCGGGTTCAAATCTGGCCTGACCTCTCCCCAAGACTTACTGTTGTTGGATTTCAAGTCCCGGTGGATGACGGGCACGATGGCGCCGCAGTGAAGGTAGTCCATGCCCTGCGCGATCTGGACGGCCCAGTTGATGAGGATGTGCGGCGGGATGCGGCGTCCGGCCAGCATCCGGCTGAGTGGTCCTCCGGCGGCATACTCCATCACCAAGCACAGGTTGGGCCCCTGCAGGCAGACGGCCTTCAGGACGATGATGTTGGGGTGCTTCAGCATGGCAAAGAGACGGGCTTCCTGGCGCACCCGCTCGGCCGTGGTGCTGATGTCCTCATCCGGGTCCTGGCGGGCCGCCTTGACCGCCACCAACTGCCCCCGCCAGCTGCCCCGGTAGACCTTCCCGAAGCCCCCCACCCCGATCACCTCCTCCAGCGTCAGGTCCCGAAAGTCGGCCTCGGGAGGGTCCCCGGGCCCGGCGTAGGCCCCCGTCTTGGGCGAGACATAGTTGGCCGGGAAGATGCCCACGCGGTCGTGGAGCTTGCCGGCCCACCAGCCTTCGTCCCCGGAGATGGCCGAGTCCCAGGACAGGACCTCCACCAAGTCGCCCTTGCGCAGCGTCAGCTCGTCCGTGCTGGCCGCCTCGTAGTCAAACAACGCCGTCCAGACCGGGTTGGCGTAGGTGGTGGTGGGAGCCCCGGCCCGGGAACCTGGCCCCCATCCGCCCACCAGAGGGGCCTTGCGCAGCATGCTTTTCAGTGGCTCCATGCTGCCCTCCCGGCCTCATCGGGTCCAGGGACATGGACCCCCTCCCCCTGTCGGCCAGCGGAAGGGAGACCACGGGGAGATCTCGGAAGGGCCGGGCGCGGAGCTAGCGCGAGCCCCCTCCCCTCGGGAAGGCGGGTCCACGTCTGCAAGCGGGCCGGGCTCTACATGCCCCCGCAAGGCTTCCCCGGCGCCCGCGGGCGCCGCGCTCTCTTCCTCCTCCGTGGGCGCGGGCGGAGGCCCCGGGCAGAGCTCGCCTTCCGTGCGCGCGGCTGCTTCCTCGTCTCGGCCGGTCCCTCCCCGCGAAGAGTCCCGGCCCCGACCCCGGGGGCTCCCGGAGCCGTCTCCCCCGGAGCCGCCCGGCTGGCAACGGAGGCGATCCCGGTCTGCGAGGCGCCCCGACGGCTCGGCGGCTTCTCGGCCGGCCGCGGAGCGAGCGAGCGGTCCTTTCCTCGGAGCGAGGCGGGCAAGGCAGGGCGAGGGCGGGCCTGCCCGGCTGGGACTGCCCCGGTGGAGGCGGGTCTCCCCGGCTGGCTGGCTGGCTGGCGCTCCCTCTCCGGCGGAAGAAAAGGCGAGGCTGCTCGGCTGGCCCCCGGGCGGGAGACGATGCCTGGCTGCGCGGAAGCCGAGCCGAGCCGAGCCGAGCCCAGCGCCGCCCTGCCAACCCCGGGCAGTGGCGCCAGCCTCCGGGGCGCACAGCGCTCCTCGTCTCTGGAGCGCTGTGCGCGCTGCTTCTCCAGGATCTGGCACTCCGGTTCCCATCAGGTTGGGGGGATGATGGGAACTGGAGTGCCCCTCCTTGCCCTTGTCCTAGGGGGGCTTGCTTCCACCCCGGGAATCTGGAGAGATTGCACAGAAAAAGAAAACCCGCGTTCAAATGAACGTCTGAAAGGTGGCTCTTGGTTTTTGGAGCCGTCGGAGGGCCCTTTTCCCTCCCTCCTCCTTTGCAGAAGGCTTTTCGGCTGATTGTTATCAATAGCAGGAAGATGATTAAAAGATTATTAAAAGGAAGAGCCGAAGATCAGAGTGGCCGTAAATGTTGCGCTGCAACTGGGATGACCCCGGAGCGCAGTCAAGAGCTGAGCTTCCCTTGATGCCCCGGAGCCTTTGAACTCTGGTGCTGGAGAAGACTCCTGCGAGTCCCCTGGACTGCGAGGCGATCCAACCGGTCAGTCCTGGAGGAGATCAACCCTGACTGCTCTAGAAGGCCAGATCCTAAAGTTGAAACTCAAGTACTTTGGCCACCTCATGAGAAGGAAGGACTCCCTGGAGAAGAGCCTAATGCTGGGAAAGATGGAGGGCAAGAGAAGAAGGGGACGACAGAGGATGAGGTGGCTGGATGGAGTCCCTGAAGCAGGAGGCCTGAGCTTCAATGGACTCCAGAAGATGGTAGAGGACAGGAAGGCCTGGAGGAACGTGGTCCATGGGGTCGCGATGGTTTGGACACGACTTCGCAACTAACAACAACAACAGCGGGCGTTCAGAGTATTCCTGCCAGATCCGGGAGCGCATCCAAGCATAAATAGTTTGAAATCTCAAAACCAGGGCTCTTCAAATTGGGCATCTTGAAGACGATGGACTTCAGCTTCCAGAATTCCTTGGACAGCGTGCTCTTAAAGTTGCCACGTTTGGAGACTCCAAGCTCTAAACTAGCTTAGTATCTTGATTGTCCTTGAGTTGGATGCACCGTCGTAAGACTGAGATCAGGTCTTGTATCCTGAAATTGGACCTGGAAACTGACTTTCCCCAAACTTTCCCCAATGTGGTTTTTCTTTCCAGCAACTGATGAAAATGTGGATCTGGGCAGGTTTCTCCTGCCGTCACCCCCTCCTCTCCTTTCTCTGTGATTTGTTATCCTAATACATGGGTCTTCAAACTTGGCCCCTTTATGACTTGTGGACTTGAACTCCCAGAATTCCTCAGCCAGGCACGCATGCCTGGCTGAGGAATTCTGGGAGTTGAAGTCCAAGTCATAAAAGGGCCAAGTTTGAAGATCCCTGTCCTAATATTTACTGTAACTGACGATAATGGGCCACTCAGGGCAAAGATGAAAATAAATCCATCAATCTTTTAATAAAGGAAATAAAGGAGCAAATGACAGTGAAGGGAAAAGAATTGTATTGTTCACATAGTCCTCGTTTAACAACTGGTCGTCTAGCAATCGTTCAAAGTTACAACAGACCTTTCCAGAGCTATTTCTAAACTATTTTTAAAGTTCTGATGGAACTTTATCTCCATCTTTCCCAGCATCAGGCTCTTCTCCACGGAGTCCTTCCTTCTCATTAGGTGGCCAAAGGACTTGAGTTTCATCTTCAGGATCTGGCCTTCTAAAGAGCAGTCGGGGTTGATCTCCTGTAGGACTGACCGGTTGGATCGCCTTGCAGTCCAGTAGCGCCAGAAAGAGTTAGGAAACCAGAAGTTTCCCACTGGTATTTTGCACATCATCATTCTGTTTTGCTGTTTGATGATGCAACAAGTGACAGGTTATTTTGTAAGTATTTAAAAAAAAAAACTAGCTATGGTAAATAAAAATTTCTCATTGGGGATGCAAAATTTGGGACACCCAACAGATGGCAGCAAAGCTTTTTTATATATATTTCTGCCGCCATCTAGTGGTCGTCTTGGAGACTTTTAAACCAACCTGGGGCTTTATCGTAAGTTTGCAATTAATATTAATATCGTATCAGCAAGAACCAAGCTACCGACTCATGACTTGCAAAGCCAGAAATTGAAACTCATTTCTCATTGGCGGACAAGACTGCCTCTCAAAGGGAACGGACCCATAGCAAGTAGTCTAACGCTTAAATGCCCGCCCTTTGGAGTGAAGCTACAAGAGCGATTAACGTCAGAGAATCTGCGCATGCGCATTGTCACGAGGGTCTGCTTTGGAGGATGAAGTCCGTCCTTATCTCGGCAGATCTGGCTCGCATGCGCATTTGGATCCTGGCAGTCATTCGCGCATGCGCACCACCGTTTCCTTTAAACGGCGATAGGAAGCGTGAGGTCTGTTGGGACAGACAGTAGAAACAGTTATCATCTAGAGATAGTAAATTGGAGAGGGTAATTTCATTATCTGGATGGAATGTTTCTGGGTTCTTTTAAAGACTTTGAAATGTTTGTTTTTCCCACTGGCAATTTACATCAAACTTGTGGTGTTGGCTGGGTTACATTTGTAGGAAGAGCATTCATAATCCAACAATGTATTTTTATTTTCCTTCATATTTTTTGCCTGCTTATTCTTTTTCAATATACATGCATATGATTTATATCCTTTCACATATCCTTTGTATGCATTGTTTTGTACTGTCTATAAACACATGAGACATCTTTGTTTTCATAAATTCTATCGGCATACATTTATATTTTTACTTATAAAGTGTAAGATTTTATTCTATGCACAGTGAAATATACATAATATACATAATATGGATACAGTGCACACAATTTTACTTTCTTGTGCACTATTATCTACTCATATTTCTCTATAAATAAACAACTTTATTTCGGTCATTAACCAGCAGAATTTGTTTTCGTTAGCTAACAGACATTTTCTTCCATATAGTTTATCTTCTTTATGTAGTATCCCTATACACATACACAAATACCCTTTTCATATGTAAAACTTATTTATTTTCATTTATAGTAATACTTTTGTACTGTTTTATAATTTCCAGTATATGCAAATATAAACACCTATCTGCTTTCTTACTTTACTTGTATTGATATACCACGTGTGTTTGTGTGTATGTGTGTATGCAGGGCTTTTTTTCTCATAGAACGCCCAGAACGGAGTTCCGGCACCTTTTTTGGATGGAACCTTGTAGGGTAGGCAAGGCGGGTTGTATGATGTGTGTGAGTTCCGGCACCTTTTTTTTTTTTTTAGAAAAACAGCACTGTGTGTGTATGTGTGTGCATACATAAACATATACTATATAGTATATAGTATATATAGTACTTGTATACACACATACATATACTTACAGGTAGTCCTTGACTTATGACCACAATTGAGCCCAGAATTTATGATGCTAAGTTTGTTAAGTGAGCTTTGCCCCATTTTACAACGTTTCTTGCCAGGGTTATTAAGTGAATCACTGCAGTTGTCAAATTAATAAGCCGGTTGTTAAGCAAATCTGGCCTCCCCCATTGAATTTCCTTGTCAGAAAGTCGCAAAAGGGGATCACGTGACTCCGGGCCACTGTGACTGTCGTAATTGTGAGTCAGTTGGCAAGCAACCCTCACTTGACCACGGGGGATGCTGCCTGCCATGGTCATAAGTGTGAAAAATGGTCATCAGTCCCTTTTTTCAGTGCCGTTGTAACTTTGAACGGTCACTAAATGAACTGTTTGTAAGTCGAGGACTACCTGTACTTCATATATAAATATGGAGAAAGAGAGAGAGCGCATATATGTAGGTATAAAGTTCTTTTTTTCTTCATTTCTGCCTCCAGCGTATTGCAAATTGCTTAATTGGGATGGCGTGTTTGGTGTTAATTAGGGGGGGGGACAATTAAAAACTCGGATCCCCCTCTTCCCGTTTCTCTTCCCGTCTCTGCCCCCTCTGACTTTCATAGCTCTACGTGGCCCCCGCCAACCAGCTCGGACGTGAGAGGACTCCGCATGCGCAGTGCCGCCGCTTCTCCTGCAGCTGCTCGGGCGCTTCTTCCGGCCTCCCCAATCCCTGATGAGGTTCAAGCGCCGGGAGTCCCCCTCGGCTCCTTAGGCCGAGCGGGGCTGACCCTTGACCCCGGAAGTGAACAAGACCTGGACTCGTTTGACCTGCGGGGCGCGCAGGGGGCCGGGGTGTTAGGGATTAATGCTGCCCCCCCGTTTCCCCAGGGGAGCCCCGGGAATTGGAAGCGGACCCTCCTCCCCGCGCCCCCTTCGCCTTTAGCAGCCCAATCCTGGGAGGGGCTCCCATGGCCCAGGGGTGGAGGGGCCTCCCCCTCTAGGCAGCCTTGGGGGGCTCTGGTCACCCCTGCTGCCCCGGAGCTCCTTTGGGGGGGCGGCCTCCCCTCCCAGCGGGATCCCCAGCCCTCGGGTGGCTACCCCTGGGTCCTCCTCGGGGCGCCCCCATGGCCTGAGGGGCGGGGCTGAAGAGGAGGAGCAGCCAGAAAGGGGGGGTGACCCCAGTGGTGGGGGTGGCCCTTTAGAGCCGCCTGCCAGCCCTGCAGGGTCGGCCCAGGCGGCTGGTGAGCCATTGGCAGCCCAGGAAGGGCCGGTGGGCTCTCCCAGCCGGGACTCGAGAGGGGCAGAGGCGGGTTCTGGATTCCCCAGCCCTTCCAGATCATGGAACTCAAGCTGCCTTAATGAAGGCCCCTGGGAGCTCCAGCTGGGCAGTGGTGTTCCCTCTGGAGGAGGACGGCGAGGGAGAGGAGGAAGACGACGGAGAGGAGGAAGAAGAGGCGGCCCCACCGTGGATATGGGGTCGCAGGTCCTCCAGATCTTACGCCAGGGCGTCTGGGCTTCGCTGACCGGCGGCTGGTTCTTCGACCCGCATCAAAGCACTTTCTCCAACTGCTTTCACCTCTACACCTGGATCTTTCTGCTCGTCCTCCCTTTCCTGCTGTACATGGTGAGTCATAAGCCTGGCTAGGTTGGGAAAATCTGGGCTAATTTCCTCCTCCGCTGGTTAATTTCTGGACTCGCTTGCTGGAAGATGTGCAGGTGGTCCTCGGCGTACGACCAACATTGAGCCCAAGACGTCTGTCGCTGAGCGAGACATTAATTAAGCGAGTCTTGCCTCGCTTGATGGCCATCCTTGCCACCGTTGCTAAGGGAGTCGCTCTCAGTGGTTGAGTCAGTCAAAATTTTGCTTGTTAAATGAAACGTGTGTTAAGTGAGTTTTGCTCCGTTTTACGACCTTTCTTGCCACCGTTGTTAAGTGAATCATTCCAGGGGTTTAGTTAGTAACACCGTTGTTAAGTGAAACTGGCTTCCCCCTTGACTTTGCTTGTCAGAAGGTCGCAAAAGGGGATCACGTGATCCCGGGTTAAGGGAATCCCCGCAGTTGTCTAGTTTGTCACACGGTTGTTTAGTGAATCTGACTTCCCAGTTGACTCGGCTTGTCGGAAGGTCGCAAAAGGGGGATCACAGGACACCAGGACACTGCAACCGTCATAAGTGTGAATCGGTGGCCAAGTGTCTGAATTTTGATCACGTGACCCTGGGGATGCTGCAATGTTTGTAAGTGTGCAAAACAGTTGTAAGTCACTTTTTTCAATGCCGGTCACTAAAAGAACTGTTGTAAGTAGAAGACTACCTCCACTTCCTTCCAAACTTCCTGAAATGCCTCTCCTCTCCTCTTTAGCTTCCTGTTTTTCCCCCCTTCCTTCAAGACACATAAAAACGAAGGTTAGGCTCCCGTCTGATTTTAGCCAGTGCTTAGAAAGGATGCTGGTCTGTCTAATCCAGCCTAGCTTCTTGCTCTGATGGGGCTACCCTCAGTTTTCCAATTGATATGGTGGTTTACTCAACCCTTCACATGCTTTACCTATCATTTCCTCAGAGGGATTATTCGCCCTCAGCACTTCCTACATAGCCAAGAACATTCCTGGTTCTGGGAGATGATTACCCAGTTACATTTCCTAAATTGACGCAATGCTCGGTGTTGGGTGTAGCTTCTTGGAAAATGCAATTTGGCTGATACCTGCCATGACACGAGGGCAGCGTGGAGGGAAAGAGAAGAGGTGAAGGGGTCCACAGAATCCACACTTAGCAATCCTTCAGTCAGAAATAATGACATTTACTATATATGGAGGGTCACAATAGTAACAGTTTAACAACCGTCTATTCTGAGCCTCCTGTCTGGTTGGTGCCCAGAATATCGGAATTCCCGAAAACCATCCTGTTGAACGAGGGCGAAAATAAACTGCAGATAATTTAAGTGCATTAAGGAATCAATAAGGATGCTATAAAGATTCTGAAGGTTGGATTCTTATATCAATTAGTTGCGATGATGGTTCAGAGTTTTGCTTTCGGAGCCTGGATTAAAGCTGCATTGCTTTTCCAAAATAAGAAGCCGGAACAGGGCAATTATAAAACTTAGGTTGAATTTCAAAACAAGCAAGACAGCAGTTGAGCGCCCCGGATTTTGGTTACCTGGTTAACGCACGTTGCTGAGTATATAAAGTTTTCTTTCTGGGGACCCAAAGCTCCGTTCTTCCTCGCAGTTCTGAAGGGGGGCTGGATCCAACGTGGGTACCTTCCAGATGCGTGGAATTCTATTCCCAGATTTCCCCAGGACCATTGCTGGAATCAATTTATTGCAAATACGTCAAGTGATGTCTGCTGACCTGGGGTAGGAAGCAGATTAGAAAAAGGTTTTGGAAAAGAATCACTCTGAAAGCAGGAGCCAACGTGTGGTGTTGTTGTTGTTATAGAGCCAGTTTGGTGTAGAAGTGAAGGTGCTGGCCTAGAAACCAGGAGATGGTGAGTTCTAGTCCTACCTTAGGATGAAAGCTGCCAGGGTGATTTTGGTCCAATCAGCAGGAGACAGTGAATTCTAATACATTAAAGCCGACTGGGTGACTTTGGGCCAATCACCAGGAGATGGTGAGTTCTAGTCCTGCCTTAGGCATGAAAGCCAGCTGGGTGACTTTGGGCCAATCACCAGGAGATGGTGAGTTCTAGTCCCACCATAGGTATGAAAACTGGCTGGGTGACTTTGGCCAATCACCAGGAGACAGTGAGTTCTAGTCCTGCCTTAGGCATGAAAGCCGGCTGGGTGACTTTGGGCCAATCACCAGGAGACAGTGACTTCTAGTGCTGCCTTGTATGAAAGCTGGCTGGGTGACTTTGGCCAATCACCAGGAGACGGTGAGTTCTAGTCCTGCCTTAGGCATGAAAGCCGGCTGGGTGACTTTGGGCCAATCACCAGGAGTCGGTGAGTTCTAGTCCCACCATAGGTATGAAAGCTGGCTGGGTGACTTTGGCCAATCACCAGGAGACAGTGACTTCTAGTGCTGCCTTGTATGAAAGCTGCCTGGGTGACTTTGGGCCAATCACCGGGAGTCGGTGAGTTCTAGTCCCACCTTAGGCATGAAAGCCAGCTGGGTGACTTTGAGGCAATCACTCTCCTCCTGACCAGCCCACCTCACAGGGTTGTTGTTGTTGTTGGGAAAATAGGAAAAGGAAGAAGTGTTAGGTTTGCCCGCTGTCTTGAGTTAAGCAGAGGCAGGATGAACATCGAGTAAATAAAAATAAATAAGTTGAAACACACGGTTTTGTAGGGAAACAAGCCGAGGGCCGAATCTCGATAATTTAACTAGGTGAGTGAGCGTGTCAAGAGTGCGAACACTGCAAGGCTTGAGTCAATCTCTTCTGCATTTAAGAAAATATTTTCTTTCAAGGGAAATAACAACAGTCCTCTTCAAACAAACAACAGTGTGTGGAAAGAAGCTGCACTGGGGAAAGTTGAAACTTGTTCCCTCTTGTTCCAAAATGCAAGACGCGGAACGGTGGGTTTTAGTTACAGGAAGCCGATTTCAACTGAATGATGGGGGGGGGGGGGAAATCCACTTCAGGATAATAAAGAGGAATTGGTGGCCCACAGGAGTGGCAGCTTCCCCTTTAGATACAGGTCGTCCTCATCCTACGACTACAATTGAGGCCAACGTTTCCGTTGTTAAGTGAGACGTTTGTTAAATGAGATCCCCCCCCCATTTTATAACCATTCTTGTTGTGTTCTCCACCACAGTTTTTAAGTTAGTAGCAAGGTTATTAAGCGAATCTGGCTTCCCCCGTTGACTTTGCTTGTCAGAAGATCGCAAAAGGGGATCACGTGACCCCGGGCACTGCAAACCATCATAAATACGAGTCAGTTGCCGAGCGTGTGAGTTTTGATCACGCGACCGTGGGGAGGCTGCGTCGGTCGTCGGCGTGAGAAACAGCCACTTTTTCCAGTGCCGTTGCAACTCCGAATAGCCATTCAGTGAATTGCCGTAAAGCGAGGACTACCTGTATTTTTAAGCCAGAGTTGGACAGACAGTTTTGAGGATTGCTTTGGATTTGCAATCCTGCCCAGACAAAGAAGTGAGATTCTGCAACCTGAATGGCCTTTTCTTCCAGCTCTGTGGTTTTTTTGAATTTTTAAAAATAACACTGCCGGCCAGTCCCGTTGCGGTATTCATGAAAGGATTAAAGCAGTCAAAACAAACGGCCTGTTTCCCAGGAGCTGCGCGTTGAGTAAAAATGTCCTTCGCGGAGTTGCAAAGCCAGGAAAAATGTCTAGGAAATAAGAGTGAAAGAGAAGGGACAAGGTCAAGTCAGGAATCTAATCTTTAATCTGAAATCCAATTTCTCAGAGTGGCCCAGAGAGGAGTAGGAATTTATTACGGTATTATTAATAATACTGCCTATCATTTCCTCTTAACAAAGTCCTTGATTCACAACCACGATTGAGCCCCAATTTTTTGCTAAGTGAGACAGTTGTTCAATGAATTTGAGCCTGTTTTACGACCTTTCTTCTCACAGGTAACCACTGTAGATAATAATAGTAGTAGTAGTAGTAGTAGTAGTAGTAGTAGTAATAATAATATAAAGTTGGAAGGGACCTTGGAGGTCATCTAGTCCAACCTCCTGCTCAGGCAGGAAACCCTATACCATTTCAGACAAATGGCTGTTGTTGTTAAGTTAATAATACGGTTGTGAGGTAAATCTGCCTTCCCCACTGACGTTGCTTGTCAGAAAGCCGCAAAAGGGGATCACAACCATCTGTATGACACAGTGCTGTTTTCAGTGCCGTTGTAACTTCATATGGTCGCTAAATGAACTGTTGTAAGTCAGGGACTACCTGTATTTCTCCATCTTTCAAGATTTAAGGTAGCTGGACTTTCAACTGCCATGATTCCCCCAGCCAGCCGTGCTATCTCGAAGTTGCTACGGGTAAGACACGCTGCCTAAATCAGTTTTCTATTTTAAGAGGAACGTTTAATTTAAATATCAACGCAAAATTAAAGCTGGGAAAATTCATAAGGTTATTGGTGGTCCAAAAGGTGGAATGTTAAAATAAGTAAGGCATATAAAATTATTGATAAATGTAAGAAAGCTATTAAGTAGCTGATTAGTGACCAAAGTTAAAACAGTACCCAAAAAAACACGACTGTTTTTCACACTTACAGGTGTGTGTTGCAGCCTCCCCCATGGTCACGTGATCAAAATTTGAGCGCGTGGCAACTGGCTTCTATTTACGACGGTTGCCGTATCTCGGGGTTGTGTCACCTTTTGTGACCTTGTGACAAAGCAAGGCCAAGGGGTCATGTGACCCTACATATAACTTTCCCAAGCCAGCGGCCAACAAGCAAAGTCAAGGGGGGGGGAAGCCCCATTCAGTGAACAACGGTGTGATCTGCTTAACGACCGTGGCAAGCAAGGTCGCAAAACGGAGCCAAACTCGCTTTGCAACAATTTTGGGCACCATCGTGGCCGTACGTCGAAGACTCCTTGTACAACCCAGAGATTTTTCTGGATGTTTTCCAGCTTCGGGTTTTGGGGTGGTTTTTTGTTTTTTGTTTGCAGCCCACGACTTGTGACATTGCAGCCCAGTGTATAGCTGTGTTGGCAGCACCACGTCACTCACACACCTATTTTAGGGTAAGAGCTGTGAAACATGCAGAGATACACCTCACCTCCTGTCTCTCCAGCGGGGAGACTCAAATCCTCCGTTGGAGCTGTTCTCCCACGTCCCGTCTAGCCCTTCTTTGCATTGGTCCTTACAATCAAACCTTTAGACCAGGGGTCTTCATACTTGGCCCTCTTATGACTTGTGGACTTCAACTCCCAGAATTCCTCAGCCAGGCACGTGGAGGTAGACTAGAATACAGTATAACAAGAGTTGGAAGGGAAATCAATAACAAAATCATTCATATATATCTCAGGTTACATCAATAACATTCCCTCACTGTTTCCCACAAATATTATATCATATTCATGTTAATAAGGCTCAATCAATCAGTACATTTATCAACAGTATTTTACTTATATATATCCAAGTCCTATTTAGAGGTTTTATTTAATTCCAATATATTCCAATATAATTGGAATATAATTCCAATATATTCCAATTTAGCCTTTTATAACCAAGTTTAAACTTCGGATAACCTTGATTTCCCTCATTTCATTACAATATAATTAACAAAACTAAAATACACATATTATTCCAAAAATTACCTTCTTTATAGACAAATATATTCTAATTCTCATTCTAATAACTTGTCCTTTAATAACAAAATATCTTTCATTATCACAAATCTATTTCCATAGAACAATTAAAGTTATAGTCGAACAGTTAATTTTAACTCCCATTATAAATCTTTAAGTGCTAAATATAAAAAAAAACATTATCTCTAAAAAGCTGCTTTACCCATTAAGTAGATTTCTAAATCCCATTTTTAAATCTGACTCTGGCTTTCCTTTTGTGCCAAATAGTTTTCCATGCCAGTCGCTCTAAAACCTCGAATGTATCTCCCTGCATTCCTACACCTGTTGTTTGAATCAAGGGAGAACGTCCAGTTATCAGTCTTTCAAAAGAACTGGCCCCTTTGTAATTGTTAAGATATTGCCCTAATAATTCAAATCTCCATGTTTGGTTTAAGGTATTTATAGTCAATTCAGTAGTCTGGTCCTCTTCTTGCGATTTCATCTGAGTAGAATAGAGAGTCATATCCGGTGTTGTTTGATTATCTAAAATGTCTAAGTTCTCTGCTTTTGGAGTTACAGGTGCTGTAATTAAAGTCATGGAGAATGTGATTTATGACTGTTAATTGGAGGAGGGAATTGTGCTTTGATACTGTGTGCTCAGGAGAGGGGAATTCAGTGTTTGGCTTCGATTATGTACGTGCCCACGCTATGCGTCTCGAATAAAGATTCTTTAAGGTTAACAATGCCTCGAAGTTCTTTGAGGCGTTTCATCTGTCGGAACCCTGACATTAATCTTTGAGACGAGCACTGACCATGATCATGACATTAGACAAGGATGGGCGTCGTTTTTTCACAGGTGTCCCAGTCCGGTGTCACGGATGCCGAGGTCAAAGAGGTGTGTTTGCTGGGTGTAAGACCCCCCCTATTCACTTTGTGACCTTCTCCTTTGGCAGGTGATGCCCCCCAGCATCATGGTGGCGGGAATTTACTGCACCGTGGTGGCCGTCTTTTTCACCACGGTCAAAACCGTCAACTACCGTCTCCACACCATGTTTGACCAAGGGGAGATAGTGGAAAAAAACTCCATCCTGGTAGAATCTGGCAAGGCCGACGAGAGAGACACTGCGGAGGACGACAATATGACCAGGTGAGCGAAGGGCAGCAGGAACAGGCAGTCCTTAACTGACAACGCTTCCATTTAGTGACCGATGGACAGCTTCGCCAGAAAGAAAATGAGTCCTTCAAATGCATGAGATAGCAATAGCAATACCTCTTATTCAGGCAGTCCTCGGTTTACAACAACAACAACAACAATAATAATAACAACAACAGAGTTGGAAGGGACCTCGGAGGTCATCTAGTCCAACCCCCTGCTCAGGCAGGAAACCCTGTACCATTTCGGACAAGTGGCTGTCCAGTCTCTTCTTAAAAACTTCCAGTGTTGGAGCATTCACCGCTTCTGGAGGCAGGCTGTTCCACTGGTTAATTGTCCTCACTGTCAGGAAGTTTCTCAGTGCATTTAGTGACCGAAGTTACAACAGCACTGGGGGGAAAAGGTGACCTATGATCCCTTTTTCACACTTACGACCGTTGCAGCATCCCCATGGCCGGGTTCAAAATTCGGACGCTTGGCACCTGACTCATCTTTATGACGGTTGCAGTTATCTCCCGGAGGGGGTGTCACGTGATCCCCTTTGACGACCTTCTGATCATGCAAAGTCAACGGGGGAAGCCGAATTCACTTAACAACCATGTGACTAACTGAACAACTGCAGGGATTCACTTAACAACTTGTGGTGAGAAAGGTCGTAAGATGGGGCAAACGTCCCATCACTTGACAGGCGTTTCGCTTAGCGACAGAAATTTTGGGCTCAATTGCGGTCGTAAGTCGAGGACTCCCTGCGTGAGGCTAAAAGTCGGCAGCCAAAGAAGGATAGAAAAACAGCCATCCCAAGCTTTAGGGATGGACAAAGGGCTCCTAAGGATCTGAACAGCCAGATGCAGGGGTAGGCAACCTTGGCTCTTTTATGACTGGTGGACTTCAACTCCCAGAATTCCTGAGCCAGCCATGCTGAGGGGAAAGGGAGAGGTTTCCAAGCTGAGCCAGGCTGGCTCAGGAATTCTGGGAGTTGAAGTCCACGAGTCATGAGGGGGCCATAGTTCCCCCACGCTGGCTCAGGACTTCTGGGAGTTGAAGTCCACGAGTCATAAAAGAGCCAAGGTGGCCTACCCCTGCTCTAGAGAAAAGGACTGGGGGGGACATGATAGCAGTGTTCCAGTACTTGGGGGGCTGCCGCAAAGAAGGGGGGGCAACCTATTTTCCAAAGCGCCTGAAGGCAGGACAAGAAACAACGGTTGGAAACTGATCAAGGAGAGAAGCAACCTAGCACTAAGGAGAAACTTCCTCACAGCGAGGACAATTAACCAGTGGAACAGCTTGCCACCAGAAGTTGTGGGTGCTCCATCACTGGAAGCTTTTAAGAAGAGACCGGACAGCCATTTGTCTGAAATGGGTACAGGGTCTCCTTCTGGAGCAGGGGGTTGGGCTAGAAGACCTCCAAGGCCCCTTCCAGCTCTGTTCTGATTGATTGATTTCCTCTGCCTCCTCTTTTTCTCTGCAGGGATCCCGGAGGAGTCGAGATGACCGTTTTCCGTAAAGTAAGCTCCACTCCGCCGGTGAGGTGCAGTTCGCAGCATTCGGTCTTCGGCTTCAACCAAGTCATGGTAAGGGGGAGAAAGTTCGGGTCGAAGGGCTCAGCCTGCCCCGCAGTCCATTTCGTTGCTCTTCAGGATAGTTTGATTCTGCAGGTTGTCTTCAACATATGGCCACAACTGACCCCGAAATTCGTGTGGCTAAGTGAGACACTTGCTAAGGGAGCTTTGTCCCATTTTTAAGACTTTTCTTCCCACAGTTGGTAAGTTAGCAACACGATTGTTAAGCGAATCTGGCTTCCCCATTGACTTTGCTTGTCAGAAGGTCGCAAAAGGCGAATCCTGTGACATACACAGGCCGAGCGTCTGAATTTTGATCATGGCCATGCGCATGCTGCAGTGGTCCTCAAGATGAGTCAGTTGTCCAGAATCCGATGTTTGATCACGTGATTATGCAGATCCTGCCACCGGCGTAGGTGTGAAAAACGGTCACAAGTCACAGACCGGTACTTGTCTGTGGCCCAGGGGTTGGGGACCTTTGGCTAAGGGGGTTTGTGTGTTGTACGAACACAACTCTTGGGGGGGTGGACTAGATGACCTACAAGGTCCCTTCCAACTATTCTATTCTAATCTATTCTAATCTATTCTATTCTATTAATTTAAATTCTATTCTATTCTATTCTAATTTAAATTCTATTCTATTTCTATTCTATTATATTCTAATTTCTATTCTATTCTATTCTATTAATTTAAATTCTATTCTATTCTATTCTAATTTAAATTCTATTCTATTTCTATTCTATTCTATTCTAATTTCTATTCTATTCTATTAATTTAAATTCTATTTCTATTCTAAATTCTATTCTATTCTAAATTCTATTCTATTCTATTCTAATTTAAGTTCTATTCTATTTCTATTCTATTCTATTCTAATTTCTATTCTATTCTATTCTTCATAAACTTGGCTTTTCTGAAGTGACATTAAACCTGGATGCAGAGGATTCAAAGATCTTATTTATACATCAAATAAAAAACTCACTGCTCATTTGGGATGGGCAGTACAGAAATTTAATAAAGCAATAAAACAAATGAAAATAAATAAATAAATATAACAAGCTCCTTCCTTCTTCTACGGACTTTGGTTCTGCCCAGCTTGGCATTTTTTTGAGCTATTTTGCAACAGGCTGTGTCGGTCACGGGTGTCCATCCATGGCAACCTCAGGACAAAGCAGTTGAGGTCTGATTTGTTCCTCTTTTTATGCCTTCCAGGATCTGCTGCCCCACTTGGAAGACGGAGGCCCCATCCGAGGTAAGCAGTGGAGAAAGGCGGGGGCCACAGTGCCCCCCCTCCTCGGTTGAGCCTGGGTCAAACCAGTTAGGAAGGGAGCTATAAAAACAAAACAAGGGCCACCCTGTACAAGTGCCTTTGCGGGATGCTGACGTGCATTTCAGGACAGGTAGTTTACCTGTGCCTCTGCCCCCCCTCCCCACGACCATTTCCAGATGGATGCTCTCTGTGTCCTTAGGACGTACGTTGTCCACGCTGCTAACATCGGATGTTTTTGCTTTGACAACAGTTGGAGATGCAACCATTTTCTTCCTGTGTTTTACTTTTAGAGTTAGAGTTAGAGTTAGATCAGTGGTTCTCAACCTTTTTAATGCTGCGACCCCAACCGGTCATAAGTCGAGGACTAAACCGGTCGTAAGTCGAGGACTAAACCGGTCGTAAGTCGAGGACTAAACCGGTCGTAAGTCGAGGACTACCCAACCGGTCGTAAGTTGAGGACTTTCCCTGCCCGGGAGCACCGCGCATGCGTGGTTCCGCCCCCTCCACCGGCCGAGGCGTAGCTGGCAAGTGGCAGAGACGGAGCAGGCCGACCACCAGCTGGCCCAGCCCAAGGGAGGTAAGGCACCCGCCAGAAAAGGGGGAAAAAATGGCGGACAAAAAAATGGCGTACAGCCTTGCTTGGCGACCCCCATGAAATGGTCGATCGACCCCAAATGGGGTCCCGACCCACAGGTTGAGAACCACTGAGTTAGATGGTGCTGGGGAGAGGAAGGAGCATGAGAGTTCAGCTAGACATAACAATACTGGACCTAGTGTGAGAACCAAGGTTATTGAAATAAGAGATGATAAGAATTGGCGGGCTGGAGAACTGGAGGGAGAGCCCGCATTTCAAGCTAATTGGGGAATGTGATTTATGACTGTTAATTAGAGGAGGGAATTGCGCTTTGATACTATGTGCGCAGGGGAGGGGAATCCAGTTTTTGGCTTCGATTATGGAGTGCCGATATTATGCTACTCAAAATAAAGATTCATTAAGGTAAACAATGCCTCAAAGTTCTTCTGAAGAGTTTCATCTGTTGGAACCACGACAGCACGGCCACAATTGAGCCCAAAATTTCCATTGCCAAGCACAACAGTTGGTCAATGAATTTTGCCCCGTTTTATGACCTTTTTTGGCCATTCGTTGTTAAGCGAATCACTGCCGTTCGGTGAATCCAGCAGTCATTAAACGAATCTGGCTTTCCCCATGGACTTTGCTTTCGGAAGCCGGCTGGGAAGATTGCGACTGGAGATCACATGATCCTGGGACGCTGCGACGGTCCTCATCTTATGACCGAAATTGAGCCCGAATTTAACAATGTGGCCAAAAAAAGATTGTAAAATCGGGGGGTAACTCACTTAACGACCGCCTTGCTTAGCAATGGAAATGCAGTGGTCCCGGCTGAGGAGGGGAGATAGAGGAAGAATGGAGAGGGACAAAGTCTCCATCCAGGTCTTTTCCCGCAGACATCAAGGAGCTCGTCCGGGAGCAGGGAAGCAACAATGTCATTGTGACTGCCGCTGACCGGGACATGCTTCAGAGCTGCTCCCCGGAAAGTCAGGGTGAGTTCTCACGTCTTGGACGCGGGTTTGAAAAAGGAAGGAGCCTCAGCAAGGTGGGGGAAAATGGATCAAAAGATAGAGGAAAGCCAGTTTGGTCTAGTGTGAATTCACCAGGAGACTAGAAACCAGGAGACGGTGAGTTCTAGTCCCGCCTTAGCCATGAAAGCCAGCTGGGTGACTTTGGGCCAATCACCAGGAGACGGTGAGTTCTAGTCCCGCCTTAGCCATGAAAGCCAGCTGGGTGACTTTGGGCCAATCACCAGGAGACGGTGAGTTCTAGTCCCGCCCTTAGGCATGAAAGCCAGCTGGGTGACTTTGGGCCAATCACCAGGAGACGGTGAGTTCTAGTCTGGCCTTAGGCGTGAAAGCCAGCTGGGTGACTTTGCACCAGTCACTCTCAGCCCAACCCACCTCACAGGGCTGTTGTGGGGAAAACAGGAGGAGAAAGGACTATTTAGGTCTGTTTGCCCTTAATCAGTTGAATGAAACTAACGAAAGGAGGATAAAAATCAGATAAATAAAATTGGCTTCTCCCACTCCTATGTTGGATTTCACGGACTGGGCCCCCCTTCACAAAGGCCTTTTTTTGGGGGGGAAACGGGACCCTAACTTGTGTCTTCTCTCTCTAGCCGAACCTCCAGCGCCCTCTGCAGACTCGGAAGGCCCGAAGACCGGCCTGCTTCCGATGCCCAAAGGGGACCCCCCCGCCAGCCTCAGGAAGCAGCCCCCGTCCCTCCCCATCCAGACCTCCCTCCAGAGCACCGATTCCTCCGAACAGTCCCCCCCGGGCAGGGAAGGGGCACAGGCTCCCCATTGGACCCCCAGCGAGTCGGAGAGCGTGGGGGACACCCCGCTCAGCCCTCTGCTCAAGGGCACCTTAAGCGAGGAGCTTAGCCACAGTTTCCTCAGCCTGGCCCTGCCGGAGTCCAGCAGCCACGGCCGGCGGGAGAAGCACCACTCCGGGGCCGAGTACCAGCCGCTGGAGCCCCGGCCCGACGGCCCCCGCCCGGCCGGCTCGTCCGACAGCTGCTTCAGCGGCACCGACAAGGAGACCCCCAGCACCCTGAGCAGCTACCGCAGCGAGAAAACCAACTCCACCCACTTGGACAGCCCCTCCTTGGGGGCCGGCCCCGAAGAGGGGGTCCCCGGGGAGGAGGCCGGGCCCTCCTCGCCTCCCCCAGCCGACGGGGGCAGCGACACGGACGCCCTGTCCGACAGCGAGCTGCTTCGCTCGCCCGAGCTGGCTTTCCTGGGGGAGCTCAGCTTTGACACCCAGAACACGTTCAACTCCCTGGAGACGGTCAAAGGGGACGGCGAGGTGTGGGGCGCCCCCAAGCCGGAGCAAGTGGTCCGGCCGAAGGATTTGGGGCTGAAGAGCCGGCCTCGCCTCTCTCGGAAGCACGGCAGCAGCTACCTGCCCATGCGCACCCTCCTGGACAGCAAGGCCTACACCGAAGGGTTCTTCGCCGACGAGGATTCCAGCGACTGCAGCGATCTGAGCCGGGCCTCGAGTCTACACTCGCAACACAACTACAGCTCGGACAGCTCTTCCAGCACCTCCTGCTACTCCCCCGAGCGCCACGCCCCGGCCCAGCACGGCGGCAGGCACGGGGTCCCCTTGGCCGAGACCAAGCCCCCGCCTCCGCCGGACAGCTGCGCGCTGCCCCCCAAGCCCTCCCATTACGCCCAGCGCACCGGGAGCACCACCAGCGCCAAGACCCACGCCAGGGTGCTCAGCATGGACGGCAGCAGCCAGCTGGCCGACGGGAAGCCTCCGGGCGCCCTCACCGTCTCCAAGTCGGACTTGGAAGCCCACGCGGGGAAGCTGGCCGGGGAGCAGGAGCTGGGCAGCACCGTGCGCAGCCAGTCAGCCAACCAGCCCGGCTGGCGGGGGGAGCTGCAGGCCGAGGGAGCCATCGGAGGAGGTAAGGCTCCTGAATGGGACGGCGCTCCCGACAGAGGAGAATGTAGCTCTGGGTGGAAATGTGGGGGGCAGGGGGTCCTTGGGGTGAGTATCTGGATTGGGCTGTTTTCCTGCAAATGTTTCGTCACCCAAGTAGGGAAGATCATCGGTGCTGGAAGGTAGAGGGGTTTGGGGAAAGGAGGAGGAGGAGGAGGAGGAGGAGGAGGAGGAGGAGGAGGATCAATGCTGGAAGGGAGAGGGGTTTGTAGGGAGGAGGAAGAGAAGGAGATGGATCAATGCTGGAAAGGAGAGGGGTTTGGGGAAAGGAGGAGGAGGAGGAGGAGGAGGAGATGGATCAATGCTGGAAAGGAGAGGGGTTTGGAGGGAGGAGGAAGAAGAGGAGAAGGAGGAGCTGGATCAGGGCTGGAAGGAAGTGGGGTTTGAAGGGAGGAAGAGGAGGAGGAGGAGGAGGAGATGGATCAATGCTGGAAGGGAGAGGGGTTTGCTCCCTATTTACCAGTATTTACTACTAGTTTGCCCTACCAGTGTTCTTGGTGCTTCCTTGATCAGGCTGTTATTTAACCTGTGATTGTTGGTCTGACGAGCTGGGAGTTCCTTGATTGGAACACTCTTTCTTTGCTTCTTCATTCTTGACGTAATGTTAACATCGGCAATGTTAACGTCGGCGTTAATCTCTACTCGTCTGAGTGTGGATTGCCGGCCAGGACCAAAACCCTGACGAGGTTACCTACTTCGGTAACGAAACGTCTGCCAGGAAACCACCAAGCTCAGAGAGCCCCCCCCCACCGCAAGCCCAGGGCGTCAAGCTCAGCTGCTCAGGGCAGAACGCTTGCGCCCAGTTGTCCCTCAACAGCGCGCACCCTTCGCACCCACTCGGCCTCTGCCTTTTCTCTGCCAGCTGCCGTCGGGGAGGACCTGCCCAAGTCGGAGCAGTCCAGCAACATCAAGCGCGTGCAGGCGATGCGCCGGAGGCACAACGCCGGCAGCAACCCCACCCCTCCGTCCTCCGTCATGGGGTCCCCCCCGAGGTAAGCCCCTCTGCAGATGACTTTTGTGCCGCCCCCCGTCCCCCGCGGCGGCGGCGGCTGCCGTCTGGCCTCTCACCTCTGGCCCTTTCTGCAGTTTGCAGGACCTCCAGCGGGGCCGAGCGTCCTCCCACTCCCGGGCGCTCACCCTGCCCTCGGCCCTCCAGTTCGCCAGCTCGCTGCTGCTGCCCCGGGGCGCCATCCACGAAGCCTGCAACTTCGACGACACGTCGGACGGGGCGGTCCACTACTTCTACGACGAGAGCGGTGGGTGGGGCCCCTTGGGCGGGAGGAGGGGACCCTTGCAGGGCCGTGAACTATCCCAATTGGGCAGCTTTTAAGACTTAAAGGCCTGGCTGGCCGAGGAATTCTGGGAGTTGAAGTCCTCGGCGCTTCACGTTACCCACTTTGGAGACCCCTGGACTAGACGTTCCCCAGTTCCTACCATACACTTTAGCCTCCAGACTCCTTAGCATCATAAAACAGGCAGACAGCTGGTCATTTGCCTTCTTTTAGAGCAGGGGTCTTGAAACTTGGCCCTTTTATGACTTGGGGACTTCAACTGCCAGAATTCCTCAGCCAGGCACGCGTGCCTGGCTGAGGAATTCTGGCAGTTGAAGTCCCCAAGTCATAAAAGGGCCAAGTTTCAAGACCCCTGTTTTAGAGAGCCGTTGAGGCCACTTGGAGGTTTACCTGTGTCCTCAAGGTCACCTGAGTGGTGCAAATGGGTGTGGAACACAGTCCTTTCAGCAGTTCCAAGAAGGCTCCACACCCATTTGCACCACTCGGGTGACCCTGAGGACACAGGTAAACCTCCAAGTGGCCTCAAGGACTCTTTAAAAGGATGAAAATGACCAGCTGTCTGCAAGGAGTATAAATCCTTCCGCTCCCCACCATCCGATCAGAGCTGAAGAAGCTTTTTGGATGGGAAGTGAAACGTCTTCAAAGAAAAACAAAGACAGTCCAGTTGCCTCCTCAAAAAGCATCTTTGGGACAACCAGGACCTGGAGGACGGAGAATTTCCATGGACAGTAAGAAGTCTCCCAACGTAGTCCATTTTTCTCTCTCTTTCTGCCCAGGAGTCCGACGTTCCTACACTTTTGGGCTTGCCGGAGGCGGTTACGAGAATCCAATGAGCCAGCAAGCGGGCATGGAACACACCACCAACAGCGGCTGGTGAGTCTCTTATTTCAGCGGCCAAAACGTTCCTCCGGAGAAGGAGATTGCTGGCAGATTTTTGGAGTAAACTACAGGTAGACCTCGACAATTGAGCCCAAAATTTGGCTCCTAAGCGAGACATTGACCTGTCTGAGATGGTATAGGTTCTCCTGCTTGAGCAATGGGCTGGACTAGAAGACCTCCAAGGTCCCTACCAGCTTCTATTCTATTCTGTTCTGTTCTATTCTATTCTATTCTGCATTCTATTTTCTATTCTGCATTCTATTTTCTATTCTATTCTATTCTATTTTCTATTCTGCATTCTATTTTCTATTCTATTCATTATTCTATTCTATTCTACTTTCTATTCTGCATTCTATTTTTTATTCTGCATTCTATTTTCTATTCTATTCTATTCTATTCATTGTTCTATTCTATTCTATTCCCATTCTCCATTCTGTTCTATTCTATTCTATTCTATTCTATTCTATTCTATTCTATTCTGCATTCTATTTTCTATTCTATTCTATTCTATTCTATTCTGCATTCTATTTTTTATTCTGCATTCTATTTTCTATTCTATTCTATTCCCATTCTCCATTCTATTCTATTCCATTCCATTCCATTCCATTCCATTCCATTCCATTCTCTTATTCTATTCTATTCTATTCTATTCTATTCTATTCTATTCTATTCTATTCTATTCTATTNCCTCCTTGGGGGCCGGCCCCGAAGAGGGGGTCCCCGGGGAGGAGGCCGGGCCCTCCTCGCCTCCCCCAGCCGACGGGGGCAGCGACACGGACGCCCTGTCCGACAGCGAGCTGCTTCGCTCGCCCGAGCTGGCTTTCCTGGGGGAGCTCAGCTTTGACACCCAGAACACGTTCAACTCCCTGGAGACGGTCAAAGGGGATGGCGAGGTGTGGGGCGCCCCCAAGCCGGAGCAAGTGGTCCGGCCGAAGGATTTGGGGCTGAAGAGCCGGCCTCGCCTCTCTCGGAAGCACGGCAGCAGCTACCTGCCCATGCGCACCCTCCTGGACAGCAAGGCCTACACCGAAGGGTTCTTCGCCGACGAGGACTCCAGCGACTGCAGCGATCTGAGCCGGGCCTCGAGTCTACACTCGCAACACAACTACAGCTCAGACAGCTCGTCCAGCACCTCCTGCTACTCCCCCGAGCGCCACGCCCCGGCCCAGCACGGCGGCAGGCACGGGGTCCCCTTGGCCGAGACCAAGCCCCCGCCTCCCCCGCCTCCGCCGGACAGCTGCGCGCTGCCCCCCAAGCCCTCCCATTACGCCCAGCGCACCGGGAGCACCACCAGCGCCAAGACCCACGCCAGGGTGCTCAGCATGGACGGCAGCAGCCAGCTGGCCGACGGGAAGCCTCCGGGCGCCCTCACCGTCTCCAAGTCGGACTTGGAAGCCCACGCGGGGAAGCTGGCCGGGGAGCAGGAGCTGGGCAGCACCGTGCGCAGCCAGTCGGCCAACCAGCCCGGCTGGCGGGGGGAGCTGCAGGCCGAGGGAGCCATCGGAGGAGGTAAGGCTCCTGGATGGGACGGCGCTCCTGACAGAGGAGAATGTAGCTCTGGGTGGAAATATGGGGGGGGGGGGTCCTTGGGGTGAGTATCTGGATTGGGCTGTTTTCCTACAAATGTTTCGTCACCCAACTAGGGAAGATCATCGGTGCTGGAAGGGAGAGGGGTTTGTAGGGAGGAGGAGGAGGAGATGGATCAATGCTGGGAAGGAGAGGGCTTTGGAGGGAAGAGGAGGAAGAGGAAGAGGAGAAGGGAGGAGCTGGATCAGGGCTGGAAGGAAGTAGGGTTTGAAGGGAGGAAGAGGAGGAGGAGGAGATGGATCAATGCTGGAAGGGAGAGGGGTTTGCTCCCTATTTACCAGTATTTACTACTAGTTTGCCCTACCAGTGTTGGCGAACCTGTTCTTGGTGCTTCCTTGATCAGGCTGTTATTTAACCTGTGATTGTTGGTCTGACGAGCTGGGAGTTCCTTGATTGGAACACTCTTTCTTTGCTTCTTCATTCTTGACGTAATGTTAACGTCGGCAATGTTAACGTCGGCGTTAATCTCTACTTGTCTGAGTGTGGATTGCTGGCCAGGACCAAAACCCTGACGAGGTTACCTACTTTGGTAACGAAACGTCTGCCAGGAAACCACCAAGCTCAGAGAGCCCCCCCACCGCAAGCTCAGGGCGTCAAGCTCAGCTGGGCTTGACGCCCCTCAACAGCGCACACCCTTCGCACCCACTCGGCCTCTGCCTTTTCTCTGCCAGCTGCCGCCGGGGAGGACCTGCCCAAGTCGGAGCAGTCCAGCAACATCAAGCGCGTGCAGGCGATGCGCCGGAGGCACAACGCCGGCAGCAACCCCACCCCTCCGTCCTCCGTCATGGGGTCCCCCCCGAGGTAAGCCCCTCTGCAGATGACTTTTGTGCCGTCCCCCGTCCCCCGCGGCGACGGCGGCTGCCGTCTGGCCTCTCACCTCTGGCCCTTTCTGCAGTTTGCAGGACCTCCAGCGGGGCCGAGCGTCCTCCCACTCCCGGGCGCTCACCCTGCCCTCGGCCCTCCAGTTCGCCAGCTCGCTGCTGCTGCCCCGGGGCGCCATCCACGAAGCCTGCAACTTCGACGACACGTCGGACGGGGCGGTCCACTACTTCTACGATGAGAGCGGTGGGTGGGGCCCCTTGGGCGGGAGGAGGGGACCCTTGCAGGGCCGTGAACTATCCCAATTGGGCAGCTTTTAAGACTTAAAGGCCTGGCTGGCCGAGGAATTCTGGGAGTTGAAGTCCTCGGCTCTTCACGTTACCCACTTTGGAGACCCCTGGACTAAGACGTTCCCCAGTTCCTACCATACACTTTAGCCTCCAGACTCCTTAGCATCATAAAACAGGCAGACAGCTGGTCATTTGCCTTCTTTTAGAGCAGGGGTCTTGAAACTTGGCCCTTTTATGACTTGGGGACTTCAACTGCCAGAATTCCTCAGCCAGGCACGCGTACCTGGCTGAGGAATTCTGGCAGTTGAAGTCCCCAAGTCATAAAAGGGCCAAGTTTCAAGACCCCTGTTTTAGAGAGCCGTTGAGGCCACTTGGAGGTTTACCTGTGTCCTCAAGGTCACCTGAGTGGTGCAAATGGGTGTGGAACACAGTCCTTTCAGCAGTTCCAAGAAGGCTCCCCACCCATTTGCACCACTCGGGTGACCCTGAGGACACAGATAAACCTCCAAGTGGCCTCAATGACCCTCTAAAAGGAGGCAAATGACCAGCTGTCTGCAAGGAGTATAAATCCTCCACCATCTGATCAGAGCTGAAGAAGCTTTTTGGATGGGAAGTGAAACGTCTTCAAAGAAAAACAAAGACAGTCCAGTTGCCTCCTCAAAAAGCATCTTTGGGACAACCAGGACCTGGAGGACGGAGAATTTCCATGGACAGTAGGAAGTCTCCCAACGTAGTCCATTTTTCTCTCTCTTTCTGCCCAGGAGTCCGACGTTCCTACACTTTTGGGCTTGCCGGAGGCGGCTACGAGAATCCAATGAGCCAGCAAGCGGGCATGGAACACACCACCAACAGCGGCTGGTGAGTCTCTTATTTCAGTGGCCAAAACGTTCCTCCGGAGAAGGAGATTGCTGGCAGATTTTTGGAGTAAACTACAGGTAGACCTCGACAATTGAGCCCAAAATTTGGCTCCTAAGCGAGACATTGACCTGTCTGAGACGGTATAGGTTCTCCTGCTTGAGCAATGGGCTGGACTAGAAGACCTCCAAGGTCCCTACCAGCTTCTATTCTATTCTGTTCTATTCTATTCTATTCTATTCTGCATTCTACTTTCTATTCTGCATTCTATTTTTTATTCTGCATTCTATTTTCTATTCTATTCTATTCATTGTTCTATTCTATTCTATTCCCATTCTCCATTCTGTTCTATTCTATTCTATTCTATTCTATTCTATTCTATTCTATTCTATTCTATTCTATTCTATTCTGCATTCTATTTTCTATTCTATTCTATTCTATTCTATTCTATTCTATTCTGCATTCTATTTTTTATTCTGCATTCTATTTTCTATTCTATTCTATTCCCATTCTCCATTCTATTCTATTCTATTCTATTCTATTCTATTCTATTCTATTCTATTCTATTCCATTCCATTCCATTCCATTCCATTCCATTCCATTCCATTCTCTTATTCTATTCTATTCTATTCTATTCTATTCTATTCTATTCTATTCCATTCCATTCCATTCCATTCCATTCCATTCTCTTATTCTATTCTATTCCATTCCATTCCATTCCATTCTCTTATTCTATTCTATTCTATTCTATTCTATTCTATTCTATTCTATTCTATTCTATTCCATTTCATTCCATTCTCTTATTCTATTCTGTTCCATTCCATTCCATTCTCTTATTCTATTCTATTCTATTCTATTCTATTCTATTCTATTCTATTCTATTCTATCCAATCCATTATTCTGGCTGAGGAATTCTGGGAGCTGAAGTCCGCAAGTCATAAAAGGGCCCAGTTTGAAGACCCCTGGCCTAAGTGATCGATCCTTCACGTGAAGCCTGTTGTATCGTAGGAAAGCTTGCCGGTGTCAGAACGTGTCCCAGCGATTAAAAAAGGAGGATGGTTTAGTCAGGCGGCTGTTCAACGGGGAGAGTTCTGTTGCTCATGGCCTCATCGCTCTGTGTTTGCCTTGGCAGGGAGAGACACTCGCATTCCTCCAGTTTCAACTCCGCAGAAGTTCCCGAAGGGACCCCGGCCCTCTCCCTGCTGCAGCCGCGGCCTGTGGTCCTCCAGGGTATGCAGGTCCGCCGGGTCCCCCTGGAGATCCCCGAGGTAAGACTGGGAGGCTCAGACGCTGCTTTTCAGGTGTCTGTGGAGATTCTCCCATCATCCAGGCCATGGTTAGGCCAGGCCTGTCCCAGCTTGGCTCTTCAGGAAATAAATATGATCCTCCTCCTCCTCCTCCTTCTCTTTCTCCCCCCCTCCTCCTCCTCCTGCCCTCTTCCTCTGAACTCCATTCCCTCCTAACACTGATGATGTTGCCTAGTTGGGTAATCAGATATCTGCAAGAAAACAACCAAAGTCATAGAGACTCATAGTCCTCCTCCTCCTCCTCCTCCTCTGCTTCTTCTCCTCCTCCTGCTTTCCTCCTCCCCCTCCTCCTCTCGACTCCATTCCCTTCTAGCACTGATGATGTTGCCTAGTTGGGTCATGAAACGTCTGCAAGAAAACAAAGAAGCTCAGAGAGACTCAAAGTCCTCTTCCTCCTGCTCCTCCTCCTCCTCTTCCTCCTCCTCTTTCTCCTCCTCCTCCTGCCCTCCTCCTTCCCCTCCTCCTCCCCCTCCTCCTCTCAACTCCATTCCCTTCTAGCACTGATGATGTTGCCTAGTTGGGTCATGAAACGTCTGCAAGAAAACCACCCAGCTCGGAGAGCCCCAAAGGCCCATCGGAAGCACCTTTGGAATGAACAAAGGAGAATATTTGCAGCGCACGGTTGACATGAGGGTCCTTGGTGCTCTCTGAGCTTGGTATTTTTGCAGACATTTCATGACCCAAATTAGATAACATCCACAGTGCTGGCGTTTCTGGCTGGGGAATTCTGGGAGTCGAAGTCCACAGATCGGAAAGTTGCCAAGGTTGAGAAACGCTGGCTTCTACTTTCCATTGTGGTGAGGAAGTGAAGTTGGAATAGCAACGTTTTGGTTGTTGTCGTTGTTTTCTTTTTCCAGTTTGATCTTCTGGACCAAGAATCCTTGCACGAATCCCAGGAAAACACCTTGATGATTGAGGACAAGTGTCACCCTCGACAATACTACAAATTTTGGCTTCTTCCCGGGCACTGGATGCGAGTTCGCTACGACCGGTTGGCGCTGCTGGCTCTTTTGGATCGGTGAGGGCCCAATTTGCAGGCTTTTCTGGGCTACCTTGGGGAGGAGGCATCTCTTAACACAAAAAGCGTGAGACAAACACACACACACACACACACACACACACCTTCTAGACTGGCAAAACAGCTGGCTGGCACCTTCTCACTTTGCGTCACCTTAACAGCCCCAAATAGACACCCAAAATTCTGCTAATTCTTTTTTTTTAATGCATTGTATTGCTTTTTTAAAAATATAAACACCTTGATATTTGGTAAACAGCGTGTTGTCTGGGTTTATATTTACAAACTAATCACTAACAGTTACTTTCTACATTCCAAAATCCACCTAATAGCTTGCTCGATTTTCTCTTCTTCCAATCATATTCTCTTTGCCACCTTAAATTAATACAGTTCTTATTAATTTGATAGGTAGCAATTAAATAAAATATTAATTTGACAGGTAGCAATTTCTAAAATTTCTACCAATAATAATCACATCAACATCATGCTTCTTTTCTATCTGGTCATCTTGGTTGTCTGGTCACAAATCCTGTTGACAAATTCTTATTTAAATTTATTTTTCCCTACAACGTTCAAAACATTTCTACTGGTTAAAACTTGCCCAGTATTTAAATCTATTTTCGTGCCTTAAAAAATGATTAAGAAAAATCCTGCCCATTCTGCTGATTGAGCTCGGCTTATGAAAACCTCAGACCGTGAAGACAACGATAAGCTCCTCCAGTGTTTCTTCCAGCTATTTGCACAGGGGTGACTACAACTCCCATTGTTCCCAGCCAACAGATCCAGGGAATTGGGAAGCTGATCGTCACCGTTGATATCTTCTTGGCTCTGTTCCTTTTTTCCACTGTTTATTTTATTGTTGCATTATTTGACTTCTGTTTACACTCCTTTCATTTTCTTTCTTTTCATTATTGTAAAGCTGCCTGGAGTAGCTAGCCCCCACGGCGAGATACGACAGCAAATTAATTTAACCGATAAATAAATGAGTTTACTTTAGGCCAGGGGGTCTTCAAACCTGGCCCTTTGATGACTTGTGGACTTCAACTCCCAGAATTCCTCAGCCAGGCACACGTGCCTGGCTGAGGAATTCTGGGAGCTGAAGTCCACAAGTCATCAAAGGGTCAAGTTTGAAGACCCCTGTCTTAAATCTAACAAACAAAATGGAGGTTGGCTGAGGAATTCTGGGAGTTGAAGTCCACAAGTCATCAAAGGGCCAAGTTTGAAGACCCCTGTCTTAAATCTAACAAACAAAATGGAGGCTGGCTGAGGAATTCTGGGAGCTGAAGTCCACAAGTCATCAAAGGGCCAAGTTTGAAGACGCCTGCTGTAAATTTCCCTTAACAACTGCGGCCGAACCTGCTTAACGGATATCTCGCTTCGTGACGGAAATTGCGGTCGTACGCCGAGGACTAGCGGTGTCTCCTTCTCTTCCCCCCCCCTTCCCAGGAATCGTCAAGTAGCCGAGAACGTCTTTGTGGTGTTTTTGGTGAGCCTGGTGGCCTTCCTGGGCTACCTCCTCTTGCTCCAGGGCTTCTTCCGGGACATCTGGGTCTTCCAGTTCTGCGTGGTCATCGCTAGCTGCCAGTACTCTCTGCTCAAGGTGAGGTGAAGGTGTAGCCTTACCTTGAATCTCGGAGCTAGGAAGTCTCACCTTAGCGATGCATGAAAATCTAATTTATAAGTCTGTGTGGGACTGAATTCTCCTTCTGCAGTACAGGAGCCAGGGAATCCTCGTCAACAAAGGACTAACGAATTTTTTCCTCCTTTATTTCATTTTTTTCCCCAGAGCGTACAGCCAGATGCTGCCTCTCCCATGCATGTGAGTATTTGGCTGCGAGAAATCTTAACCCCAATCTTATGGAATTGGGGTTAGAGCAGTGTTTCCCAACCGTGGGAACTGTAAGAAGTGAGGACCTCAACTCCCAGAATTCCCCAGCCAATATGGTGGGAGGGGAGTTCTGGGAGCTGAAGTCCATCCATCTTAAAGCCTGCTGGCTGGGGAATTCTGGGGATTGAAGCCCACCTCTCTTAAAACCATGCTAGCTGGGGAGTTCTGGGAATCCAAGTCCACCCACCCTAAAGCAAGCTGGCTGGGGCATTCTGGGAGTTGAAGTCCACCCATCGTAACGTTCCCGAGGCTGAGAAACGCTGAGCTAAAAGAAATTCTGGGCTGGGGAAGTGGTGACCCAGTTCGTTCTGGGCCAGGCGCCGTGGGTCATAAATCTCGGCCCTGTTCCCAAAGCTTCTCAAGCTTCTTCTCTCCTGGCAGGGCCACAACTGGATTATTGCCTACAGCCGGCCGGTGTACTTCTGCGTGGCTTGCCTCTTGATTTGGCTGCTGGACCTGTGTGCTCGGATCGGGCCCTTCCCTCCCGTCGTCCTTTACGACGTCACCCTTTTCTCCACCGACTTCTTCTACTGCACCCGTGACGTGGCTATTGGTAAGCCACCGATTGCGGGGCTGGGAGAGTTCGGGCGTGGTTAAGGAAC